GCTCTTCAGCGACTGCCAAAACTGTCCTTCTCAGGACAGCGCTCTTCAGCGACTGCCAAAACTGTCCTTCTCAGGACAGCGCTCTTCAGCGACTGCCAAAACTGTCCTTCTCAGGACAGCGCTCTTCAGCGACTGCCAAAACTGTCCTTCTCAGGACAGCGCTCTTCAGCGACTGCCAAAACTGTCCTTCTCAGGCCAATGTTATTCTCCTACATTCTTTTTACATGAACTTGCGGAGTTATTTTTTGTCTAGTGCACTGTACAATTTTTGTTTATGTATTTTTCTTTAACAAATATAAACCTTTGCAATTTATTTTTATACTAAAGTCTTTGTTTAGTTTGTTATTGTTTTCCATCATGCAATCTGTTTGCAGGTCAATATATAACCTGCAACAAATTTACATAGCAAAAGCAAATGAAAGAAATGTCTGGAAAAAGCTTTTTTTCCAAATTTATAATCAGTTACTCGTTATGTGTTTATTTAAATTGTTTTGTTCGTAGGCATTTTTATAAATTTATGAATAAAAAATTTTTTCATAGTTATTTCTCACCAACCTATACAGCAAGGCAATTCCAAGAAAATTGGAAACCTTACCGGGATTTAGCGTTGGCGTCCACAATCTTAACAACATGAGATACGTAGATGACACAGTACTGATAGCAGACATGGAAAAGAAATTACAAACTCTCCTACAGAAGGTAGCGACGGAGAGTGTGAAGAAGGGACTAAGCATAAATTGCAAGAAGATAGAATGCATGGTCATCAGTAAAACGCTGAGCCTGAGATGCAATTTGCAGGTCGGGAACACTAGAATCAAGCAAACGTGGAAATTTAAATATCTGGGAAGCATTTTGACAGAGGACAGTAAGGGCGACAATGACATCCGCAGACATATTGGGATGGCCAAGGATGTATTCCAAGAGCTGGGCAGAGTATTGCGAGACAGGAAGATTTTTTGGTAACAGAAAAGAATGCTGAGCTGTTATGTGATATCTGTCCTTCTTTACGGCAGTGAATGCCGGACAATTTCCTCAAAGATGAAGAAGAGACTCAAGGCAATGGAGATGTGGTTCTACAGAAGGATGCTAAGTAGATCATAGACTGAGCGTGTGAGCAACAATGAGGTCTTAGAGAGGAAGCAAACAAGGAGAAGGCTTATGCTTAACATCAGGAAGAGGCAGCTGAAATTTCTGGGACACATAATGAGGAAGGAGGGCCTGGAGAATCTGATACTCACAGGTCGAATAGAAGGACAAAATAAATTTCATTGAAATCGGATGAAGACTGTGGAAACACATAAACAACATCTGATCGCACACACACATTTTGAGAATTATAGATATAGATAATATTATTGTAATAATTTAAAATATTTATTTTTATTAAATTTTTCATGAAAGATATATATCCAAGAACAGACAGAAAATAGTAAGACATTGCTGAGAGTTATAATACATAGGAAGTAGTGGAGAACCACTGTCGCCAACAATTTGGACTCAAAACTGGCACTGAAGAATTATCTATCAAACAAAACAAATTTTATCGAAATCAGATGAAAACTGTGGAAATGCATAAACACCATCCGATATCACACACACATACACACACATTTTGAAAATTATAGATATAGATGCATTTGAAAGGACTTATGACTTTATAAGTTTTAAAGGATTTTTTAAAAAAATTATTAGACAGTGAAATTAATTTCAAATTGCTTAAAAATATTTTTATAATAAGCAGAATTTGTTTATGTAATTTTTGTTTCATTTTTATTCATTTATTATCGGGTTATTATTAGAGAATTTCTGATAACAGTTGTGACAAGGAAGACAACACAGAAGGCAAAATAATTGTTTTATATGGTGTAATAAGAAACAAAATGTGAAAGCTGCACAAAAATGCTCATGAGTGATAAAAATAAAAGAATTACAAAGACTTTTTTCTGGTTCAGTATTTTTCTAACAACAAAGATCAGAAAGAATATGAATAGTTTTGAGACATTACTTTTTTTGTAGTGTTATAAAATAAAATAAGACATATCTCGGCTGATTTGCAGACAAATAAACTAACATACTCAAGAGCGAGAGCCAGATGTGAACGGGACAAGGCCCTGTCACAAAATGACCATTATCGTCGTTTATGCATAGCCCCAACGCACGAGTTCCGGTTGAAAAATAAGATAATATTTTAAAGTGTTTCTATTTTTCGACCAATAAAAATGCTTCCCTCCTAATCATACTCACGTCATTTTACGAGCATGTTAAGCCATAAAAAATGCCATAAAAGGGGTCACACGGGGTAGTACGAGAGTCAACAGGAGGCCAGGGAAGAGACCTGTCATGGTCAGGCTGAGCGGTTGGCAGCAGTCAGCAGCAGGCCAGGTAAGAGATCGGTCACGGTCGGTCTGAGCAGCCAGCAGCAGTAGCACCACGCCAATCAGCGAGAACTACTATGAGAGATCAACCCAGGTCGGCAACCGGCTTATGAACTATACCACAAGGTAGTTGTCCCAAAACCACACGTTCCTATTGAAATAAATCATGTAAATCTATTTCTGCTGTTGTATTTCTTTCTTGCAACCATAGGCTTGTCTATAACAGGTTATTATTAGAGAATTTCTGATAACAGTTGTGACAAGGAAGACAACACAGAAGGCAAAATAATTGTTTTATGTGGTGTAATAAGCAAAATGTGAAAGCTGTACAAAAATGCTCATGAGTGATAAAAATAAAAGAATTACAAAGACTCTTTTCTGGTTCAGTATTTTTCTAACAATGATCAGAAACAATATGAATAGTTCTGAGACATTACTTTTCTTGTAGAACTGTAAGGAAGAATTATTTTTTTGTTTTTGCTTATAAGTAATCACCCAATCAGTAAAGGAGCACAAAATGTTACTTTTAGCAATGATCAGTCAGAATATTATGAATTTTGCTGATGAGTATACATGTTTTTTTTGTTTTTTTAACACCTGAAGTCAGAGCCAGATTAATTCTAAAACAAAATAACCACATGCTTTGGACACAAAAAAAAAGAAAGAAAGGTGGCATACATTTGTCTTTTTTTTTTTTTTTTTTTTTTTTTTTTTACACCCTTTTGAATATACAGAGCACAGTTCAAATATCGCCTACATAATGGTAAGACAGCTACAAAAATACTTTTCACATTTTAAACTGTCACCTGTGTGGTGCTGTTGAAGTTACGCAAAATGTCTTTCATCGAACTAATGTCTTACTGTTATGTGGGAGGTATTTCTACTGTACCTTGTATTATGCTTTGTATGGTGAGGACGTCACATCTAGCATAAAACTCAGGGTAGTGTGAAATCACAAAATTTTGTCAAAAATATTTATTTGATTGTTAATAATTTTTTTGTAGGGGTCTGAAACCAGGAAAACTGTGCCTTATTTTATTTTTTTAAAGATCTGTTTGCCTAATGGAAAACAGCTTTATTTTATACACATTCAAGAACATCCCAAATAGTCTTAGTTCATTGTGTGGCTTCTTTGCAGTACCAACGAAATGTGTCTATTTTAACGTCTGGTATGTGAATTTGGCAAAGTAACAATTTCCCCGAATTTATCATTAATATGATACATTATATTTACAATATAAACAGGCAGATATTTTTAATTATATGAATATATTATGTTACTATATTAAAGGCAGTAACTCTAGGTCTAGTTGTTATTAGGAAAAATAGGTTGGGTGGGGTACCATTTTGTGGGCTGTGCTTATGCACCAATTGTTCTTAATCCAACCATGTCTTTAGTTAACTCACAGAAACATTATCACAAATTTAGCATCTTAAAAATTGATCCAGTGCTTAGAAGGAAGTTTAAAAAAAAAAAAATGTGATGTCTAACCTCATTTTTATGAGAGTAGACATTTCGGATAGAAGACAAAAAAGAAAAAAAATTTTGACAATCTTGGATCTTTGTACCTACATAAAAGAACAGTAATGAATCCATTACATTCACTTACATGCTAATACTCTTGGAAAAGGTATGAATTCTCTTCTTCTCTCCCCATGGGTAAATGGATAAAGAGCAGGACAGATCAGGTTCTATAGCCTTGGATGGCAACTGGTCTACCGCAGAAAGAAATAACAACCTGCTGCGGGAAAAAAATCTGCCTCGTCAGTCATGTAGTGAAAGATACATTATCGCCTAAGCGTGAATCACGCATGGCACATCACTGTCAATTATCTTAAGTACTTTCACTCCTCAGAAATGTTTGTTTTACAAAGCGATGATTAGAATTGGAATAAAACCTAAACACACAATGAAAGTGAATTTATACATTCTTGTTTTTCAGAATTTGCAACAAAAATATTAAACACTAATTATTTATTAGATTGTTTATTGACAAGAATCTTATATTTACAACATTTTAAAAACTAATACAATTAAACTAATGCAATGCAATATTTATCATTTACCAATTTATAAAGAAATAAATATGAAAGCAATTTTTTTATTCATAAATTTATAAACATTTACTAAATTATTAAAATATGTGAAGGAAATACTTATTTACCATTTTATAAAGTTTGAATCGATTTGCAATTAGTGTTTTGCCAATCATTTCAATAAACAATCTAATAAATAGTGTTTATTATTATTGTTGTCAATTTTCAAGAACAAAGAAAATGTATAAAATCAGTTTCATATGCTTAGGTTTTATTACAATTCTAATTATCACTTTTTAAAACAATAAATATTACTAAGGAGTGAAGGTAGTTAAAATAATAGTGGTGTCAAGGGAAAAACTGTCTTTTTTGACATTCCATTTTTTTGTGGGGAGAGAATGAATGTCCAAGATTGCCAAAAATTCAACTAAATTTGGGGAACGAATCATGTCCATCTTCTTTTCCTGATCACATAGGATATTTATAATGCAACTGCCTGGCCAGGCAGCAGTCCTTTGGTTGGTTATAAAAAAAACAACATTTCATATTATGTTATAACATAGGATATCATACTCTTTAAGCAGAAACTGCTTGAATTCTCTCTTGCAGGACAAGATGATACTGGTTCAACTGAAATACAAAACAAAATAATTAAAATTTCAAGGCTGCAATTCATTTATGAAAGATACTGTAATATTATTGAATAAAAAAAAAAAGAAAAAAAAAGTCATTTTCAACAATCTGCTGAATTAATATGACTAATAATTTGGTGGTGACCCTGCTAGTTGACCATTTAATGTGTAGCGAGAGACAAAATGTTATCTCCCCCTTGACCCAAAATAAAAAAATATCAATAAAAACTAATAAATATTCATGAGAATAAAAAAACTCACGTGATCTGATGAGACCAATATGAGAAATTATTAGGCAGGAAAGTCAATCTTCCTTCTTTTTGCTCTTTGAACTTACAGTAACAAGATGCACAATTTCAGGCTCATGACAACCAAACAGATAAGTACAAAATTTATATTGTTTTTGGTACCTAGTCTATTGTAAGTAGATATATATAAATATTGTATTAAGAATTTTGAATATATATATATATATATATATAGTGTGTATTTAGGCAGCATCTTTTCATTCATACACGTTTCATTAAATAATATAGACAAGTGTTGTCTATTTATTTTATGTAAATTTTTTTCGTAACATCTGATAAATTTAATAACATTATCATTGAACGAAGAAAGAAATTCACAATAGTGATCCATATTTTTTTTAATACAATCTAAGCTTTTGACTTACTTAAGCCATTATCAAAGATGTCAATTACAACATATTAAACAATATACGGACAAGACAGTGATGATAGTCTGTGAATGTTTACATAGATAATTTCTAAGCAACGATAAACACGTGCATATAAGACGCTAGAAGCGAAAATCGCACCGCATCTCATGACGTCACACATGACCACACGAGAGTGAATTGTAGAAGTATGAAATATGTAAAGCCGTTGGTATAAACCAATGGCTTCTGTTACCAATTATAGACATTTAAGAATATTTGTAGAGATGCCATAATTGATTTTGTTTAGGTTGGGTTTCAACTGTTTGATGTATAATGCTTCAAGGATTTTTAGTTTTTGTCTATTGTTTTCATGTCGAAGTATAATTGTGCTTTCGACAATGATTTTACGGAATTGTGGGCAGGCATGTTGTTTTAAATGCCTAAAAATGTTAGAGTTTTCATTCAAATGTAGAGTTAAGCGTCATAAAATAAATAAACACTTGTCTATATTATTTAATGAAACGTGTATGAATATATATATATATATATATATATATATATATATATATATATATATATATATATACACACACACACACACACACAAGTCTTTTTTATAGAAACACTTGTGTTTTGTTTGAACTTTTCATATATTTATGTTGTCATAAGTTTCATACACCTTAAACAAGGTCTATGCTACATATTCCCACACAACAAATGAATATTTATCAGCATTTTCTATAACGTCATCTATATAATAAATGTATATGTCACTGTGTCACATTTTTCTCAACTTTACTCCTAGAGGCCGTTTTGGAATCAGGCCAACTCTGTGAGCAAACTAAAAATAATCTGGGCTAGATCAGGACCTCTAATCCTGAAAATTTGGATTCCCAAGTTTTCATTACCGTGATTGTTTCTGGCAATTTCTATTATGTGATTTTTTATGACAAATTCTTTTGTACAATAAGAGTTTTTATGACTTGGAAATATATTTAGGAATAATGAAGATTAGTTGCAAAATCCAGTGAAAAATCACCCATGAAATAAAAATAATTGTTTGTATGGTAAGTAAGGACATATGTACATAAAATGATCTTCAAGTATCAGCAAAAGAATTATCATTGAACTTTTAAAAGTTATGCAGCAATCAATTTTGAGTTCTTCAGTGGTTTATTGTTGCTTATTGCCTTTACTCCTCCCTACCTATTGTGATGAAGGCCCAATCAAGAGCCCTCCTCAGGAGCTAGCTTAAATGCTACCCAATAAGGCAGCTTTTAAGCTAGTCTTTAATAATTTCTGTCTAAATTCCTACTTTACAATTACACACATTTATAAATACCAATGTCTTTTCAGGACATAGGTAATCATGATTCTCCACAACTTCCTTTTTAATACACTGCTGATCAAAAATTTAAGACCACTTGAAAATTTAAAAAAAAAAAAAACTGTTTTTCATGGAAAAATCTTAAACATTTCTTACTTAAGGTTACTAATTTTATAATCTAAAAGGTTATGTAGACAAAAAGTTATAATCCAAACATTTTATTGAGAAATTGACATTTTTATAAAATGAGGCGTTTTACAATTGATCAAAATTATAAGACCAGAGACAAAAATTCTACGAAATTGTACGAAAACATTCATCAACCAAATTTAATGAGTTCTACCTCCACTGGTTTTGATGACTTCAAAAATTCTTTGGGACATGCTAGAAATTAATGTTTCCATTAAGCTGCAAGGAATATTGCTCCAGCTTCTGAAGATAGCTTCACGAAGTTCATTTTTTGTTGAATATTGTTTGCCATTTCGACAAACATCTCTTGCCATCCATCCCCAAACATTTTCAATCGGGTTTATGTCTGATGAGCATGCAGATGTCTCAAGAGAAATGTAGAAATGGTCAAGGTCCGGCATGCAGTGTGGATTGCAGCATTCTCCTGTTGGAATAACCATCTATCCCCAGACAAACAATGACCCTCCCTCACCAATGATACTTTTTGTAGCATGCTAACATAACCAGCCACTGTCTGACGACTCTGCACCATCTGGAGCTCCATCATCCCTCTATAAGAAAAGGCACCCCATCTCATTAGGGACTCTCCACCACTATGACGTGTGGAGAAAATTTCAGGAGGCATGTTTTTGTTATGCCAATACTTTTGGAAGCCATCAGGACCATCTCGATTGAATTTTTTCTTATTAGAAAACAGGACTTTCTTTCCCTTCTCAATGTACCATGTTTGTTATTCATGACCAAACCATAAACGGATCAATTTGTGACATGGAAGCAGCTGAGGAATTTGCTTGCACTTTTTATTTACCATGCTTTTTTGTCGTAAGTGTTATCTGATGGTTACTGGACTGCAATCAGCATCTGTGGCTGCCTTAATTTGACTAGAAGAAAGTCCACTGGCTTTCACAACAACCCATCTTATTCTCCTACTCAATGCTGGAGAAATTTTTGGGGGCCTACCAGTAGATTTTGCGTTTCCATAATTCACACTGTCCTTTAGAAAGTTGCAAATCACAGTTTTACTGCGATAGCTGCGATCACCCGCTGTGACAAACCTTGATTATGGAAATCTAGAATTCAAAAGCACGCTCAACTTCAGTAAGTTTGCTTGCTTTAGGCAATGTAACACCTTTACGCAGTGATTGCTAATCTCTAACTGAACTAAAAACATTGGAATTACCCTAGATCTAACAATTTATACCCCCTGGTCTTATAATTTTGATCAAGTGTAAAATGCCTCATTTTATAAAAATGTCCATTTCTGAATAAATTGATCGGATTATAACTTTTTGTCTACATAACCTTTTAGATTATAGAATTAGTAACCTTAAGTAAGAAAAAGTTTATAATGTATCCATGAAAAACAGTCTTTGTAAAAATTTTTTTCAAGTGGTCTTAAATTTTTGATCAGGAGTGTATCTAAGGTATTGGACCAAGATTCATCTCCATAAAGGAAGGTGCACAGCATGATAGCTTTATAGACCATTACTTTGGTGTCTCTTCTTATATTGTTGGTACAGGCCAATATAAAATAAAATTACAATAAATGTATAATAATAATGGCTACTAATCCCTGTTGCAGACGCCTGTTCAAGCACATTTGTTTCTTTTTTCTTTTCAACACCCACAAAGCCCACCTACAGTTTATACTGAAACTATGCTGTGCAAAACTTAGTTACAGTCACTTGGAGAGAGCACATCATCTGGCATGATCAACAGTTTAAACAAGGCCAGTACACTCAGTCACGATGACTTGAGACTATGTGCTTGTACAACCATTGATGGCCTCCAGACAGTTCCATCTACCTAATTTAATTCACAAGGCTTGGTTCAACCCATGGTATGGTTTTAGGCACTTTTCAATGGCATCATCTCCCCAGGTTGATATTACTAAGTCACCTTCCTGACAAATCAACCATGGCAAGATTCAGACCTGGATTTCATGGTTGGAAAATGAAAATTCTAACCCCTCGGCCATGCTCCCGTAAGTAAATGCATAATATAAAAATAAAGATATACTGTGTTTTTAAAACTTACACTTTTAAGAATATTTTCATACTGTTCCTTGATCATTTCTATCTTTTCAGTGCATTTGTTGTGGTTAGTTTCTACCTTTTTCATCTTGGCATCGATCTCCCTTTGCAGTGTCTCTTTTTGAGTTTTCAGTGCATCGGCTTTAATTGCAGTTTTCTTCTTCTTCCTGGAAAGAACAGTTAACATTAATTGACAAATAAGGACCTGGTTGAAATAGAAAACAATTATAAATACTGCAGATTCCACTTAAACTCTTAAAACGTTCCAGTGTCCAAATTCTTTGCACAAGAATTTTCAGTCTTTACATTTTTGATTTGGAGAAGGGTCGGCAGCAAAAATTATTTGCAGCTAAATATGGTTATAAAAAGTGTATTCTTACTGTATGTAAAACACTGGGTGATGAAAATATTGTAAAAGAATGTCTCTGCTGAAAAAAAAACAAAAACAAAAATATATACAGTGTAACCCGGATATAAGAGAGTTGTCGGGACCAGAGAAGAAGTACACTGTACCACTAATCACTCTTTCGACAAAAAACTAGCTTGACACTGAAAACACCAGTTTTTGTTTTATCACCAAAGTTAAACAGTGTAGATAGACTGCTTGGAAACCCAAGGTACTGCAAACAACATCCTACAACCCAAAATATGTTTCAGCTTTAAATAACCCACAAAGGGTTGATAATCCATAATAAACAAATCAATCAAGTCTCATGCTAGGTCTTTTTATGCACACACAAATTTGCATAATCATGTCAGAAATTATAAACAATTGATACACATGATCCATGATACAAGGCTGCTTTGTTAAATGAGGGAAGTGTCAATTTGATCCTTCACTGCACCCACAACTACATCTGGCAGCAAAGCCTTGGATTAGGAGATTGGAGGTTTTGAGAAGCATGGAACTACCTCTTAATTGCTGTGGTTCTCAAGTTTACCCTTACCCGGGGTGGTAGCACCTGTTAGGGTCCAAGCTATGGGAAAACAGTGAAACCCCAAGCAAAAACAAAACACAATGAAAGCATAAAAATACATTTTTATAGTAAAAATACCAGTAATATAAATTTGAAAGCAAAATGACCAATACGATTTTATAGAATGACTAACAATACATTTTATCTATAGTTGAAGGCATACAATCGTGCTCAAAATATATTTAGTTGAAGCCATAAAATTCTGTTCAAAATATTTCAATTTCAGCATTAAATAACCCACAGAGGTGTTGATATGCTGTTCAACAAAATCAACTAAACCATGTTAGAATCTTTGGGTACCTTGGTACTAGTGAGCCAGCCAAAATGAGCTGACTCATTTTAAAGTTCACCAATAGAAGGGTTAACCAATCAGAAGGCTCAAAATATTCAATGCGACGTGTATAAAGGCAGCCATGTTTTTTTCCGAATATTCACTGGCAGCCTTTGATATCGAAGACTGAAGAATTACAGAACAGCTGCTGGTGGTATTGGCGATATAGGCGGATTCAGTAGAGTGTCTGACTCGTGAGTATTAATCTTTAACGTTTTATTGAACAGATTACGTACTGTGCTGTATTCTATATTCATAGACTATGGTGAACATGGTTAACAAAGGTTACGAGCCCAGATTATGACTGTATTTTGATGGAGACGAGTCAAAGTACGAATTATGGGAAATCAAGTTCCTAGGCTACCTTAGAATACAAAAACTTCATGACATCATTCTTTGCCAAGATGACCAGAAAGATGATGATGATGATGATTTTATGGAAAGAAATGCGACTGTGTTCGCTGAATTAATACAATGCCTGGATGACAGGAGTTTGTCTTTAATAATGAGAGAAGCCAAGGGCAACGGACGTCGAGCCCTACGAATATTGCGAGAACATTACTTGTCAAAAGGTAAGCCCAAAATTATTCCTTTATATACTGAACTAACCTAGTTAAGGAGACGAGAAAATGAATCTGTAACAGATTATATTATAGAAGCTGAAAATGTCACAAATGCCTTAAAAATGGCAGGTGAGACTATCTCAGATGGGCTGCTAATAGACATGGTTTTAAAGGGATTACCAGCAACATTCAAACTATTCATGACAGTCATAACTCAAAAAGATAAAAAATTAACTTTCACTGAGTTTAAAATTGCGTTACATAGTTATGAAGAAACTGAAAAATGTGTATTCCCCCAAATCAAGGAAATAATGTAATGCAACTAAGAATGTCATTTAAAAAATTCAGAAAACCAGTCCCTCAATACTATCAGAATACGAATTATGATATTAAAAACAAAGGGCTTAAAAACAACTATTACAATAACAACAGGAACAATAATAATAGAAAATCAAATATCATCTGCTTTTGTTGTAGAAGAGCCGGGCATGTACATGCGAAATGTCAATTTTATTCAAGGAGTGATTTTTGTAAAAATGTAAAAGCTTTTTCGAATGAGCAAACATAAGCTTTTTCGTTTGGGTTGGATACTATACCCAATACTTATAATTCTTTCCTAGTCGACACGGGTGCGACAAATCATGTAATTACAGATGAAACAAAATTTATTAATTTTGACCCCAACTTCGAGCCAGACTCCCACTTTACTGAGTTGGCTGACGGTACCAGAGCTAATAATTTAGTTTTAAAAAGAGGCAATGCCTGTATTTATTTATGAGATACTAAAGGAAATATTTGTAAATCTTTATTAAAAAGGGCTTTATATATCCCTAAATTTAAACAAAATATTTTCTCAGTTCAGTCTGCTGTTAGAACTGGTGTTAAAGTTAATTTTTACCGAGACAATTCAAAGTTAATATATCCAGACGGAACTGAATTTAATATACAACAAAATGGACGTTTGTATTATTTGAAAAGTATTAAGTCTGTGAAAACAGCCACGCATGACTTAAGGACTTGGCATAAAATATTAGGCCACTGTAATAATTCGGATGTTAAAAGATTACAAGAACACATCACTGGAATGAAAATTACATTTCCAAAGAGCTTACAACATTGTGACACATGTATTAAAGGGAAAATGACGAAATATAAAAATAGGGATAAAATCCCAAAATCAACAGATATCTTGTTCAGAGTTTATTGCGACTTAGCGGGTCCAATTTCACCAATGGCTATTGGCACCTATTCATATGTATTAAACTTTGTTGACGAATATTCAGGACTTATTAGGATATATTTTTTGTTGTGATCACAACACAAATTTATAATATTGTTATTAATGTTTATTAACGTGAAATACTTAACAGTGGACAAAATGATATAACTAATTTTTGTGGATATTAATTTTAAAAAAATAAAAAAAAAATATACAAATAATTTAATTACAAAACAAAAAAGATATACTTTATGAACACTGAAGTACTTGTTCCATATGAATATAGACTTTACTAATATTTTGAAAGAAGATTCCATAATGTACCTAAATTGGGGGGTTTGGGGGGGGGGTAGAATTTTTGGGTACCTTGGTACTAGTGAGGACAGCAAAAATGAGCTGACTCATTTTATAGTTCACCAATAGAAGGGTTAACCAATCAAAAAGGGAATATTTTTGGCCGAGCCTACAGGCTTGGAGAACCAACATTAATCCGGCCTTGTGCCACATGCAACCCTCGTGTGTGTGTGTGTGTGTGGGGGGGTAGCTAAATATACTAGCTGGGATCTGTTACTCAGCTCTTAGCTGTTGTCAAACTCTCTGCCTTCATGCAGCGAGGAACCCAGACGAGGCTATGCTGAAGGGTAAAGTCTCATCCAGGGAGGTACAGACCCGAACCCATTTATGATTTTTGCCCAGCATTAACTTCGGCCTTGTGCCACATCCTACCTCGTGGGGAGGCTGGTAAATATTTCTAGCTGGGATCTGTTGAGTATGACTCAGACTTACGTGAGAACTACCGACCTTTCAATAATAACACTCGCTACTGGACTGACTTGCGACAACCTTGTACATAACTGTTAACTTTATTCTTATTGTACTGGTTTTTACAATAAACCTTTACTTATTTATTCCACCTTGTTTTTCAAGTATATATTCTTATTAGCACGGAATATAACAGTTTTTGACCTTAAGGTCATGGGGATTGTTGGCTCTGTATACAAGGCTTAACTTGATCATATGACCAGATATATTGCCACATACCTCTAAGCCTTAAATCCTAGGATCTGGTTGGCACTCTTATGAATGTAGGTAAGATTTGGTATTGTCTTTTAGAAAAAGACCCATTTCATTGTAGACTTGATCTTCACAGTTGTTCTTTTCCTTGATTACTCATTTCAAGTGTTCTAGGAATTTTGATGATGTTTCCATATCAATCAATGCCAATTCACCTATGGCTTTAAGGTTGTAAGACTTTAGAAAGTGATAAAGTCATTCTGTGCAAGCTTTAAATTACTTCAGAGTCTGTCTATATTTCTGAGATGAGGTATTATGTACATTATTTACATTATTCGGACTATTGTGCTCATCTTTGTCACCATATTTATCACAATGTTTCGGCCATTGTATGCTCCGGCCTTCTTCAGGTGGTTGGAATTTCAAACTAAACCCTTTATTTCGCTCACTGGGGTAGACTGTTCTAGTTTTACGTGCCATGTTTGATGGATGTCAGTTATCAGTTATCTCCTGCTAATTTCCCTCTGAAAGTTCTCCACTGCCTTAACTGGGTATTGAACTCACACTCTTGTGAGGACACATGGCACAGTGAATAAAGGCGTTGGTTAGATCCAGTGACAGGACACAAATGGAAATTTCTGCACTATGTCCTCTAGCCACCCATTTAATGTCTCAGTCTTTACAAGCAATAGCACAAACTTGATGTGTGTGTGTGTGTGTGTGTGTGTGTGTGTGTGTTATTCAGCAAAGCATTGAATTCACAACTTCCCATTTATTATAAACCAAAACTTTTACTTAATTGTTTATTATTGTTAGACTTACCTGTCACACTTGCTGATTGGAATGGGTTCAGCATATGGAGCTCAATAAAAGCTATTGATTTTTCTCCAATGTCAGTAACTTTAACACCTTGCAGAGGAAACACTAAAATATCTGCAAATTTCTTTTATTTTTTGTTTAAATGCATGGATTATTCTATGCCCACTTCCATCATACTTCAGGCGAGTTTTATTTCAACTGATCCAGTGCTTGAAACTTTTATTGGAGACAAAGTACTTTTTTCGCCTTATTAGGTTTCTCATCATTGCCTTTAGTGCTTTTAGCAATAAGCGGTTTTGTAGCCACCCCCACCAAAAAAAAAATATAACAGGAAAAATTACCAAATGCTACGAGCATGCCACCTGTAGTGAGGAGGTTAGGAACTTTTAATGTAAAGGAGAAAACAAAGGGGAAATAATGATAGCAGAAAGGGAGAGAGTTTTCTCCCTTACATTAAGTAATTTGTTTACATGGGGAACAGGACCCAAAGGGTTTTAAAGCTTTTCTGAAATTTAAAGATGGTACAACACTGCACAAGTTAAAACCATATAAAATACGGAGCTTATTGTGTGCTCATGCGTATGGTGTACTTGCCCATTGTCTTTGACATATGAGGGCCCAGAAGTTCAGTTCTTAGAACCAAACAGCCAGAGTACCTGCACATTTGACTTTATTGGTAGAGGCTTATGCAGAACCAACTGCACTTTTTGGGAGGACTGAATACAGTCAACTAGTGTACATAGTGTGCAACAAGGTCTCTAAACAACCATTCTTAGTTTTTGAATTCAGTTTCCTTTTCCTGGACTGGTTGCCAACTAAAGCTAAAGAGCCCAGTCTGCCCTACTAGTTAACTCATAGCTAAGTGGAAGTACACAAATGGATTCATTATGAGTGAATGTAATGAATTTGACTGGAATTTGAACTCAGCTCTTCTGTTTCTTATTTGGAGCCACTATCCATTACATCAACCACACATCCGTTGTGTGTGTGTATATTTACAATAAAATATAGCTATAAGGTATGCTATATTTATGGGTTGAATTGCTTAATATCAGAGATCGAGTGTATGTAAATATAAAAGTGAATATTGAAGTCAACAACCAGTGATGACAGTCCATTTCATGCTTAAATGGAATCGTCAGGTTGTTTTAAGCATGAAACAGACTGTTGCCACTGGGTGTTGACTTCAATGTCTACTTATATATATATATATATATATATATTCAATATGTTTGGTTCAATAATTTAGACATACTATGTTTATTTTAATTTTAATCCTCTTGAATTTATGTTTCATGCACATTTACACAAAAATTCACAACTATCAATTACATTAATTTTTGTCTTAGCATTCACCTCTGTTTTAGATGAAATTGAAAGTACTTGGGGAAAATAAAAGGAATGAAAAAAACTACAGTGTCTTTCTTAATCAGTTTAATAATATTACTAAGAAATTGATCCGTGAATTTGAGAGGATTAGAATAAGAATAAATACATATAATATGTTTAGATTATTCAAGCAAACATGCTTTATATATATGTAAGTATAAATGTGGATATAATCCAAACTAGATATTAACAACCGTATATACACGTGTTAGTGTGCATACACAAGTAAGTGAATAAATATTTATTCAATTTAATATAAGATGTGAACAAAACAGTGTTCAATGTGTTTAGACAGAGCTAAAGTATATAATAATAAATATGCATATACCTATGTTCAAAGTGAACTTTGAACATAGGTATATGTATATCTAAATTTTCCTTCTCTCTGCCGTGTGCTGAAAACCTAGGGGTAGGATCTCTGATCTCTGACTGATGCCAAATTAGTTGAGTACCTACTAGTTTGTTACACATCATTTCACTGTTCTTTTTACAATCTTCAAGTATTAAACTTGAAATATGAACATCTTATAAAAGCATATAATTGTCCCTTTCATACAAGTGAGGATTTGCACCTGTTTGACTTGTATTTATAAAAACTTTTTTTTTTTTTTTTACTTAACAGCAGGATTCAAAAAGAACTCTTTGCAGTTCTAATATTAAGCGTTTGGGATTCAAGAGACACAGCGTGTGTATCGACGGGATCCAAGAGCTGATGCTCCCCCGTGCATCCGACGGGATCCAAGAACTGCTTCTCGCATATCTGTCAGTATTTAAGAGATGCTGCTTGCTCATCTGGAATATTTTGAAGGATCATTGTACTTACTCAGTAGTCTGTGAGAAACATGCATCAAGGTCTGTGCCTCGTGATCGCTTTTGTAACTGTAATTTCTGGATCCGATCCTGGATGAGGGCAATAGATTCTACCATTTCCTCCTCTTGTATCTTGATTCCTTTTCTCTTGTGCACATTCACTTGGCTTGACTCTTTGATCCTCTTAATGTCCTCTTCAATTGTTCTGGAAAGGAAAAATAACAAGTATTCAATGGCACTTCCATACTTATATGGATCGTTGTTGTATAGAATGACGTTTGCTGTGTAGAAAAATTTAATTTCTATAAAAAATTAACAAAAACTCAAGTAAGTATTTACCCAGCCTCCCCACTAATGCAGGATGTGACATAAGGTGAATTTTTTTATGTGCAAAGTGCTATGCACATATGTATGTATATGGGCAAAGGAGAAAAATTTTAGCCCAGTCTCAGTGACCACTGTAACGCTGGCATCGATCACAGGGTTAGAATCCCCAGGACTGGGCATTCTCTCGCATAAAATGCAGTAAAACGTTTACTTCATTTCTGGTCAAAAGCTCTGGTACATTACAAGAATAGAGAAGGAAGAACATTGCAGAAGTGTTTGAGATATTTTTATATTTCTTCTAGGAATATTAATTTTATCTTCATCTCAGTCTTGCAATAAAATTGTTCCGAAATTATATTTAACATCTAATTATATCTTAATTATATATTTAATATCTAATATCTAATTATATCTAATGGTGCTATTATAAACTTAGACACAAAAAAAAAAAAAAAAATGAAAAAAGAAGTTTCATTCATGTATCAATTGATTTTACAGAGAATAAACTAGTTAGAGTTTCTTAGAATCAGTAAAAATAACAAAATGATTTTCTTAATATTAACTGCTTTTTCTGTCTTAATTTCTGAGATGAGGCATTATGTACATTATTCGAACTATTGTCCTCATCTTTGTCACCATATTTATTACAACGTTTCTGCCTTAACTGGGTATTGAACTCACACTATTTGGGTCCTGTCACTGGATCTAACCAATGCCTTTATCCACTGTGCCATATGTCCTTAAGGCAGTGGAGAACTTTCAGAGGGAAAATTAACAGGAGATAACTGATAACTGACATCCATTAAACATGGCACGTGGAACTAGAACAGTCTACCCCAGTGGGCAAAATAAAGGGTTTAGTTCGACATTCCAACCACCTGAAGAAGGCCAGAGTGTACAACGGCTGAAACGTTGGAATAAATATGGCGACAAGATGAGGACAATAGTCCGAATAATGTAAATAATGTACAACTGCTTTTTATTGCTATCTTCAGATTGACATAGCTCTTGCTAAGTTACATGGGTCTGGCTTATTTTTAATATTTTTAAAATTTCTGATCTGAATTGTTTACTAATGTCTACAGAGTGAAAATCTGAGAGTTGCAATAAAAAGTAACTGAAATTAAAATGAAAGATAGACGGATTGAAAAATTAATAATTTACTCTGCTTCATCTAATTTCAATTAGAAAAAAAAATAAAAAAAATAACTGTACCTTTCTGTTCAAACATTTTTCTAAGTGTATGGAGAAAAGCTTTCAATTTTATTTGAAAACAGCCAAAAAATGATTATAGCAAAACGTGTGCATGCCAATTTCTTATCTGTAAGAAATTTATTAATTTTAGTTAAACCCCAGGGTTAACCAAAGATACCAATTCATTTTGTTCTTCTTTGAGGCGAGGGAAAGAAGCCCCCATTAACAGAGAAAAAGATAAAAATATAGTAGTTAAAAGACTATCAATAGCAGTAGTCAGACAACTTTAAAAAAATAGTCCTATGTATTTAGATCTTCTGAGTTTGAATTCCAGTTTAATCCATTACATTCACTTATGTGTTAATACCCTTGGGAAAGGTATAAATCTTCTCACCCCAGCTATGGGTAAATAGCAGGATAGACCAGGTTTTGTAGCCTTGGATGGCAACTGGTCTACCGCAGAAAGAAATGGCAACCTACTGTGGAAAAAAAAAAAAAAATCTGCCTTGTCATTCATGTATTGAAAGATATGATCACCTAAGCATGTATCATGCAAGGCACATAACTGACTGGCTGAGCAAAAAAAAAAAAAAAAAAAAAAAAATCCTCCAAACCAAATACAAGAAAATTAAATGAAAAAAAAAAAAATTGTAATAGTAAATATTACAACCCTACCCCCAAAAATGGACTTTTGTGACAGTGACAAAATGATGGTCTTTCTCATGACAATTTTTTTTTTTTAACCATCTTCACCCTTCAGCACTATTTATGGTTTTAAAAAGCGATGATAATTTAGTTGGTTGATTTTGTCTAGTGTCATATCAACCTCTATGGGTTATTTAATGCCGAAATCTAAAAATTTTTGAACACAATTTTATGGCTTTAACTAAATATATACTATAAACTAGCCAGATTATCCACACTTTGCTGCGTGTCACACATTTGTTTTGTAAGAAAATGATGATTGATTTTAAATCATTGTTATAAATTGTGGAGAAAAATGATACATTTTAGTAATACTCAATGATCTTGTTGCTGTGACCGCCATCTTTCTTTCCCCTTCTATTTTTTGGATAGGAGCCATTCCCTTGTTCAAATTTAAATTTAATTTAAAACAAAAGGGAAAAAATTTCCAGGGAAGAAGGGGACAAAAGAAAATGTATAAATACACTTTCATATGTTCTGCTTTTATTTCAATTCTAATCATCGCTTTTTAAAACAATAAATATTACCGAAGAGTGAAGGTAGTTTAAAAAAAGTGGTGTCTTGGGAAAAACAGTCCTTTTGACACTGTCTTATTGCAGGCAAATTCCATTTATCCATGTTTGCAGAGAAAAAAAAGAAAAAAAAGAAAAAAAAGAACTTACTTTATGCTTTCACTGTCTTCCAGCATTGACTGCATAAAAGAAATTCCCTGTTCAACAATGCTATTGCGGGTTTTCAACTGGTCCAGTTGCTTCCGGCGACTGGATACGAGCTCCAACTTTTCAGTCTTTATCTTCTTCAGGAACTCTACTTTTTCTTGCATGGAACATAAATTGGCCTTAACTTTCTGGGGAGACTGGACAATGTTCCGCTGTAGTTTTTCACATTCCTGAGTGACTTTCATTATCTCTAACTTGAGTTCATCCTGTACAAAGCAGAAAGAGGGAGGAAGAGAACAGATTTATAACAGAGTTGGAGGGGTTGCATCAAATCCTATCTGCACCAGAATCCATAATGTTACCTATTTATTTAAAACCCATTGTCACAATAAGAAACCTGACATCTGCTCATATATATATATATATATATATATATATATTATATACACTTACACACACACAGCGTGCGATAGGTAAATTGTCGCCATTTTATATTTTACGATGCGTGCTGTTGGTTTTTGATTTTGTCAACTGCACAGTACCGTAGGGTCAGTTGGGCCCCATCTCTGAGAAACAGAGCACCATAACCCAATCAACTCCATCAGAAATTTGGAAACAACATGATTGGCATTCATGACAGAAGCTCCAATACAAACATTTCAGAGTGTCTGTGTGCCAATCAGAGGACAGTGAAGAAGATTTGGAAAGAGTTAGATGAGTCTAATGGTGATTACGAAGGTGTTTGGAGTGATCACTAATGATGGCATCATTATACCTCCATTCATATTCCCACAGAGCCTCACACTCAACATGAAGGCCTACATCAAGTACGTTGAGAAGATAGTGTTGCCCTAGGTCAAGAGGGTAGTTGCTGGAAGACCCTGTGTCTGCCAACAGGACTCTGCACCATGCCACACAAGCAGGAGAACCCAGTCATGGCTGTCAGACAATTTCTGTGACCACATCACTCTTTACATCCAGCCACCTAAATCTTGAGACTGCAACCACCTTGATTATTATGTGTGTGGCACAGTTGAGGGAGAGACCAACAAAACTCCTTGTAACACCAAAGATGAACTAAAGGCAAGGATTATGGCAGCATTCACCAACTTAAACAAGGAGACTGTCCAGAAGAAATGCAGGAGATTCCAAAGACGTCTGGAGGTCCTGGTTGAAGTTTATGACAATTTTATTGAATAAATTTACTCTTTAATATTCTGAGATATTTTTATGAAATTTTGGTAAATATATCTGTTAAAATGAGATGTCAGTGCTATTTTCATTTTTGCATAATTTAGATGACAATTTACCTATTGCAATCTGTGTGTGTGTGTGTGTGTGTGTGTGTGTAGAAGAAAAATTTAATCTAACACCAATAAAAAGCACATAAATTATTTTTTTTCTGACTTATTATAAAGATAACAGAAATGAGAAAAATCCATAGACAATCGCTGAGGGAATGCTTCTAGCCAGTATTTAATTTCCTTGATTCCATAGTTGTGTAGGATGTTGCTATATAGGTTCACAACATCCAATGAAATAATTGTAACAATGATTTCTCACACATCTTTAGAAGATAAGGAGTTAAATTTCTTCCTTTTAAGTCCACTCAGCTATTGGAGTTTCGTAGGAATTTTGTCTCCAGTCCATCTTTGAGTCAACTTAAGGGTTAGTGTTTCAGGATTCATGTCACCAGTTCACTTTTGAATTAAAAAACATAAAAATTTTATAAATGATTTTAGATAGTCGTAAAAGTAGTCCTTTGAAGATTTGACTACTCGTGGCTTTAGGATGGTCCCAAATCTTCTGGAAAGACAGGTGGATGGAGTGGGTGAGACCCCAGGATTATCCATATAATCAGAGAGAGTCAGGAAGGAAGGAAAAGTGGGTTCAACCATGAGAGAAATAGGTAGGTTACCAGAGGAGTTGGAGCTGCCCAGTGACAGAAGGACTGGTAGTGAAGAATCAGGAGTCACTGAGGCCAGTGAAGTTAGGAAGATAGCAGTCCACTTCTCGAAGCCGAAGGAAGGATCCCACATTTCAGTGAGAAATCATATTGTTGCTACTTCCCAACCAGGGAGTCTTGAAAAACAATTGTCTTCATTTTTTGTTGTTGAAAGCAATCACATTCCAAAAGACAAACCAGGGCATAGTGAGCAATGAATGATCAGAAAACATAGTCACAATTTCGCCATAAATGGTGTCACACAATGTAAGTGTTCTGGTTTACTTTGTTTGGTAGATAGTTGAGAAAATCTAGATGACTTCATATGAAGCTCCAAACTTGTTTGATGAGAGACTTGATGTGTAAGAAATAGCTTTGATAGTGTCTCTCACAAACTGGGCCTGTTACGATAGGTCTTAATTCTAAGTCATTTGGTGCAGGTATATTCAGATAGTTGGCTTTTGTTATATTGCAGGTTTCATTGATTAATTTATTTTTGCGACCTTTAGATAATCCATAGAGATTGCTTGTTTTACACCTAAAGTTGGTGAGATAGTCAAATTACTCATAAATTTTGGTATGGATCTATTAAATCAGTGAGTTGTTTCATCACTTTATAAAGTTTGTATTATTTGGCTTCTTCATAGTATATATATCGTTTTGTAGTATATTTTGTATAATGTTTGTGTATTGTTTTGCATCCATAATAACAACTGCATCTCCTTTATCAGCTTCTTTTATAACAATATTTCTATCCAATTTTAGATCATTTTACTTCATTCCATTTCCATTTTTCTTTGGCGAAATTGGGTTTTATTTGGGACATTTCCAGTTTGTCAAATGGTAAGTTTGAGATGTAATCACAGAATTTATCAAGGGCTATATTTCTACTGTTTGGGGGTTAATATTCCGTTTTGTTTTTAACTAGAGATTTATTATTGTCGTCTTCAAAAAAATTGTTCTGCTAGCCTCAGTCTTTTGCAAAAGTCTGAAGCATCATTTTTAATTTCTACTACATTTGGTTTTTGGGGTGTTTCTGTAAATTTTAGTCCTTTACTTAGGATTTGTATGGGAGTTAATGATTTTTGTGAAAGGTTGATTATTTTTCGGATTCTCATGGTTGTGGACCATCCCATGCACTTCTGGTTTTTCTCTAAAACATGGTAATTAGGGTGGAATTCCTCTATATTATTTGTACTGTTAATATTATACACACATACATATATACATACACACACAGTAACAGTTTATTTTTTAAAATATTGTATTGTGAAACAATTTCTAAAATTTTATTAAACTCAGAAATTTGTTTACCTAACCTTATGATGACTTAAGAAAGTTGGAAGCTCGGGCCATATTACTTTTACTTTTCTTCTGAAATGAGCTTTGGACAATTCCTGATGGAATTTCCTCCTCATTTGAGGAGGACCATTCACAATTTGGAAAAGTCAATCAATCAAATTAATTGACATAAAATGTTTATTATTTTTCAATAGTATTTGCCATAAAACAAACACACACTATATATATATATATATATATATATATATATATATATATATATATATATATATATACTCTCACACTCTCTCTCTCTCTCTCTCTCTCTCGTATGGATATGAGTTTGTGACCCTGGGTTTCATGCTTTTGTGATCACCAGACAATCATCAGAGTTTGTCTGATGATCACAAAAACATGAAACCCAGGGTCATAAAGTTATATCCATACAACAGAATATGTTAGCTCTATCACTGATATTGAGCACTTTCCACTATATATAAAATGCCCTTCAGGATACTTTAAGCAAAATCTTATTCTAAGGCACAAAGGACCAATGCTTATGACCACAACATGTTGAAACACCAGTTCTCATACAATCTCTAAGTTAAGCAATGTTGAACCTGGTCAGAACTTAGATGGGTAACCACTTGGAATACCAGCTGCTGTAAGCTTGGATGTGCAGATGGTGTAATGAGTAATGGCCTGGAATTGTTAATCGGAAACCTGAGTTCCAATTCCCGTTGGATTCATTATATTCACTTATGTGCAAAATACCATTGAGAAAGGCTTGTATCTACTTCTTCTCCCCATCTATGGGTTAATTTAAAGAAAAGAAAAATTTTGGAATCTGAAAATATTTTCTGGCTTTAAATAACCAGCAATGGGTTGATAAGCCATGAAAAAATGAATGAATCAATCAACAAAGAACCAAACAATAACTCTACATACCCGACGTGCCCTTGCCTCCGAGATGATCATTTTCTTCTCAGAGATTTTTGCCAACAAATTTTGGCTCTCCGACTGAATTGCCACCATTTTATCATTTGTGGTATTGATCTTTTCTTGTAGCTTTAAAATAAAAACAGAATTACAAAATGACAAAATACACATAAACATCATATGAACAGTTTCTGTGGTTAGTGTGAAAGTTTAAACGTTCAGAAATTTGTAAGATATTTATAAATATATCTACTTTATTCCTAACATTGCCTTGCTTGCTGAAACTGTCATTAATGAAAATGGGCAAACATGGACAAATGTGCCGGCAAAAAAGACAGAGAGTCAAATGGATGTTTCTTTTTCCCCATTTGTTTTAAAAAGTGGAGGGGTGCACAATGACCAAAATATTGTGATAACAACAAAAATGGGGACAATAGTCTGAATGTAAATAGTTTAAATAATGATAAATCCCCATCTTAGAAATTCAGATAGAAGGCAATCAGGCGATGACAACAACAAAGATGAGGACAATAGTCTGAATGTAAATAGTGTAAATAATGATAACTCATCCTCCCAGAAAATCAGACAGAAGGTGATCGGGTGATGACAACAACAAAGATGAGGACAATAGTCTGAATGTAAATAGTTTAAATAATGATAACTCCTCCTCCCAGAAAATAAGACAGAAATTAAGTTTCCACAATCAGTACTCTGGATGATTGATCTATTGAAGCCAGATCCAAAAAGCTCTCAATAAATTTTGTCTTTTTGTTATTTCTCCTGAATCTTGTTCTGCCATCCAGTTACTCAAGCTCGCTAAGTAGGTTATGAGTTATTTTTGAGGAAAGAAGGCTTGAAAAATCTGATACTTAATGTATAGTGATTCTATAACTTTCAGATGATCATTGGTATTAGCCTGACAGGGGACTGAGGACATGGCCAGGCTATAAGGTCAAGCACACTGTGGGATTTTAATCAAATGGTCAGCTATCACTGAACCTGATGCATTAATACACCTATGCAAATTGTCCACCTTGTGAATATTGGCTGGAACAGGTTGATTGATCTGTTTCTCAAAATCTTTTTTTTTTTTTTTTAAATTATGAATATTCTTTTTAGGTGTGTGTTTTTATTGATATGATAAACTCCAGTTTGAAGAAATTACAACTAAATAGTGGTTTACATTATTTACATTGTTCGAACTGCTGTCCTCATCTTTATTGGCATATTCACGTTTCAGCCATTGTATGCTCTGGCCATCTTCAGGTGATATACACTGGAATGGCACAGTGGATAAAAGCATTGGTTGAAGTGATCCAGAGACCAAAGAGTTGTGAGTTCAATACCTGTCCACAGCAGAGTTGAACAAAAACTTGGAGAGTTGAGTTACTAAAGGGGAATAACTGAAACTGAACTATCCAGAAAAGGCATGGCATGTGGAATGAGAACAATCTACCCCAGTATAGCACCTGAAGAAGGCCGAAATGTTGTGAATATGACAAAGATGAGGACAACAGTCTGAATTGTGTAAATAGTTATAATAGCTTATCTCAGAAATATAGATGTAAATAGTGGTTTATCAGTTAACAAACTTATGTTACACAGGAAAAAAATAATTAAATTTTAACCAGATCACAAAAGGCAAAAATCTTTGTGAAAAATATTTCTCCTTATACAGAGTGTGTCAGATATTTCAGAAAACGCTGTTTATAAGTCATAAATAAAAGATGACCCAACAATGTTATGCAGAATGCAGTAAATTTTAACATGGATTTGATTTGGATTGGTTTGTTTAATGGCATATCAACTCCTTATGGGTCATTTAAATTTAATAACCAAATTTAATTTCCATAGGAGTGTTGGCAATTTTTTTTTTTTTGCTATTAAAACATATTGCTAGAATTTTTTTCTATTAAAATCTATTCCTGGAATTTTATTTTTACTATTAAAACCTATTTCTGAATTTTTTTTTTTTTTATTATTAAAATCTATTCCCCAAAATTTTCTTTTTTACTATTAAAATCTATTCTTGAAATTTTTATTTTACTATTAAAATCTATTGTTCGAAATTTTAACTATAAGAATGTATTTTTATACTTTCATAGTGTTTTGACCTCATTTTGGGGATTATTTTTTGCCCATAGCTGGGACCCTAACAGGTGCTACCACTGCAGGCCAGAGTGGACCTGGCAACAACAGCAATTAAGAGGTGGTTCCACACTTCTCAAAAACACCCAATCAGAGGCCTTGCTGTTGGATGTAGTTGTCATACCCAGCACAGGAATAACATGGCAGCCTCCAATCTAGCACAGAAAATGAAAAAGGCACTTGGCAGCTAACCAGGCTAATTCAGAGAGAGCCATTTTCTTGAAGCTTGTCAGATAAACAAGATGAATGACAAATGAATCTGTGTTGATCTCACAGTAAGTAATCTGAATTTTTTTTTTTCATCAAGAATTGACCACAAAAATGTTAAACCTGATGTATTTATTTATTAGTTTAATTACAAGAATAATGTTTAATTCATTTGTTGTCATTTCTTGAAAAAAAAAAAAGAAAAAAAAAAACAATGCATAAATCCACTATTTACATTATTTGGACTATTGTCCTCATCTTTGTTGCCATATTTATTACAACGTTTCAGCTGTTGTATGCTCTGGCCTTCTTCAGGTGGTTGGAATGTTGAACTGAACCCTTTATTTCACTTACTGGGGTAGACTGTTCTAGTTCCATGTTCAATGGATGTCAGTTATCAGTTATCTCCTGTTAATTTCCCTCTGAAAGTTCTCTACTGCCTTAACCGGGTATTGAACTCACACTCTTTGGGCCCTGTCATTGGATCTAACTAACACCTTTATCCACTGTGCCATGTGTCCTTGAGGACAATAGTCCAAATAATGTAAATAGTGTACATAATGCCTCATCTCAGAAATATAGACAGATACTGCATAAATCCAGTTTCATATGTTTGAATTTTATTAAAACTTTAAAAATAGCTTTTTAAAGCAATAAAATCTGCTGAGGGAGTACACAGTACTAGAGAAAAACTGCCTGTCTGACACATTTTTTTTTTGCAGGTACAAATGTTAAACTTTGCCAAATTTACACATAAAAAAAATCTACAAAGACAAACTAGATACTTACTTGTTGAATTTTACTCTCCCTCTCGTCATATTGGGCCATCTCAGCACTGATACGGCTTTTCAATTCATTGTTTGTTTTGGTAATTTCACCATATTGGATCTTGTACCGTTCCTATAAAAAGATTATAAATAAAAATCTTGACATCATGAAATAACTTACCTATGTAAATAATAAAATGCAAATTAGTGCAACCCCATATAATATGCTCGTCTCATAAATATTTTTTTTTTCTTGGGTCAAGAATACTACCAGTATGCACTTCGAGAGTTGATTTATAAATGTCTTCAATCTTGTAAGACGAGTTTTAAACCAGACAGAATGAAAAGAATGGTATCAAAACAAGGTCAATTTATTTCTCTTCAAAATTATAAGTTTCTTTTCTAACATTGTGCTTCATATTTTCAGTCTATCCATGGAGAAAGTTTTCAGTTTACATAGTAAACACTGCAGCAGACTGGCCAGGGTGTCAAGCCCACACCCCCAACATCAAATAAAAATGCAATAAAGAAATAAACAGAGACAATTATTTTTGTAGTAAAAGAGGATAAGAACTTTATAAAGTCATCTGCACACTCTCAGTCATTCAAGTCTGATGTCAGAGGACATTTTCAAAATTAAAGATAATAAAAATAAAGCTAAGAAATTCGCTCTCTGAGGAGAATTTGGAATCATACATGTTGTTAGTCATTGAAAAGGAATTGTTAGCAGAATTGGATACAGAAGCAATTATTGGCAGATTCACACAATAATCTAGTAAACACAAACAATTGCTCTTAATATAATGGACTGTATGCAATGCTCTATTATGCTTTTGAACTATCTGTTAATGTATAAATTGTGCAGTAAACTATTTAAAAATATCAACCAATTACTTAAAATTTAAAAAAAAATAGATAAAAAATTAAATTATAACATTTTTTATTTACATTTGATATCTACTGCCAGTAATATGTATGGTACATGTATGCTGTAATTACTAAGAAATTCATATTTTTTTCAACAAAAATTTTAATTGTATCCTTTCTTCCATATGTATTTTTAAAAAAAATTATTACGAAAACTAAGTGATAGTATTGTAGTTGCGGTTGGGCCCCCTTTGTCTCATAGCAACCAATATTTTGAGATCTAAGCCTTTGGCTTGGATTTATATTCTTCTAATATTAAGCCCAAGCAACAGAGAGACACAGGCATTTCCTCTTCTTTGGGAGGGGGCAGAGTTTACTGACTGGTGCCTGAGGCAATCCCAAAAGGGAAAACGCCAAGAGGGCTTAGGAATTTTTGGGTGGTATTGCTATTAACCCACTTTAAACATCAATGATGTGTCACATCCAGTTGCACTATGAGTGCCCTGGTAAATGCCTATAAATCTATTTGCCTGAAATTATATCTGATTAAATCAATATTCATTGGCAGAACCAGTGTTATTATCAATTTAAATTTATAAATAATCTTTCTATTAAAACAATAGGAAAATAGATTTCTCAAGTCCATTATTATTGCTCTTTCCAGCACTGGTAAGAGTTTCCTCCTAACCTTTTGTTTGAATTAATGTAGAACATCAATATCTCTATCTATAAAGGCAGGATGTGTGTGTGTGTGTGTGTGTGTGTGTAATGAATGCACAGCCGCAATTTTCAATGGATTTGCACCAAAATTTACATGCACATGCTCCAAGTTAGCGGGAAGGCCAAGACTGACTTTGCATTTCCCAACTCCCATCGATAGTGGAAATAATCGATTTTTTCATGTTTCTACAGCAGTTTTCATGTAGTTTGCAGCCATTTTGTACTGGCCAGAGTGAGAGCCAATGACTGGTTGCCACGAATACGCAGGAAGATTCTATTGGCCAGCGTGAGAGCCAACAGCTGACTGACACAAATGTTAACTAGCATGCAAAAAAAAAAAATTGATAGCTGCATTCATCACAAGTGGGAAAAATTTAAATCTGCATGGCACTTTACTCCAATTGGCACATTCGCTTGCTTAAACTCAATGTTGATTCTGATTCCGCAGAACTGGGTTGGGTGTGAAAAAGTATTTGTTGTTAACACTCTTTTTTCATTCAGTTTTTCCAGTTACGAGTCCTTTTTTAAAGCTGATCGTTTTGTATTCATTTTGTTTAGTTCTTTTTTCGTAACAGATTTAATGTTTAGTATAGAGCTTAGAAAAAATTTGCAGTGTGAGAAAGGCAAGAAGTAAGGCATGTAGCAACATCAGCACGGCAAAGGGCACTCCTTTAAAGGCAAGGAAGGGCAAAAATATTTTAAGTCAAGTGATAGCGATTGCTGTATGAGTCGTACGATTTTTGAATCAAGCATGGGCAACGCCTGGCCATGCTGCTAGTCTTTATTATATCATTATTTTCTTTTCAAGCTGCAATATATGTTGAAAGTGATGTGTTTTCTCTTATTTGGTACAGGCCTTTGTTATTTTGTACGACTAGTCCATGAGTCTACAGAGTTTATTTGCTTAAAGCTATTTTTAATCATTGATTTGAGAAAGCTGTTTTATACAGTGAACTGTTTAGACATTTCTGAATGGTTTGTATGCTTTGCATGACATGCATGTGAAAGTCTTGATGATCTGAAGAGGCTATTTAAGGATATGGCTTCAGTTCTTAGGTTAATGTTTTGGTTCTGCAGAATCTTGTGGTGTTATGTGAAACTACTAGCACAGCCTATATGTTCAATTTCCTTATATCCACTACATTATAACTGATCTATAAAAAAATAAAAATATCACTTTTCACCAAAGTATTTGGAGTTGAAAATGTTGGGGAAAAAATCCCTTAAATACACATTTGTTCAGTTCAGTTATGTGCCATGTGTGATACCCTCTTAGGCAATCATACTTTTCAATACATGACTGACAAGGTAGAATTTTTTCCCACAGTAGGTTGCCATTTCTTTCTTGCGGTAGACCAGTTGACATCCAAAGCTATATAACCCGGTTTGTCCTGCTATTTACCCATAGCTGGAGGGAGAAGAAGAGGATTCATACCTTTCCCAAGGGTATTAGCATGTAAGTGAATGCAATGGATTCAAATGGAATTTGAACTCGGCTCTCCAATTCCTCAATCTGAGCTGCTATCCATTACCCCACTATTTGTTACTGTGGTTATATGGGACAAAGAATGGTTTGTAAGTTTTAATACCTTCAAAACAAAACTACTTTCATTTAATTACCACAGAGAACTTTTTGTCTACCACCAGCATGGATGATTTTAAACCCAAGGAGAGCAGTGCTCTATGCCTTTTTTGACATGAAGTGAAGCAACTATTGCTACGTCTACAGCTAAGAAAGTTGATTCACTGTGTTGTGCCAGATAATTCTTCTCATCAGAATCCTTGCACATTCATAAATCTTGTATTTGATTGTGCATTTAATATTGCTGCCATATCTGGTCTGGTGCTTTTAGTATATATCAAGATTCTTGACAAAATTCTAAGGGTGTGTCATGTAATTGATACTGACCTGGCAACTTGACTTCAATCACTTCCCCACCAATGTGACATGGCTTCCCTGATTTATCTGATTTCTTGCTTCTCTTCCATCTTTAATCTTAAAAATTTAAATGCAATATCAATCACCATCTTCTGTCCTCCTGAACCACATTCCTCTATCGTCCTTTTCCTCACTAGAGCTTTTTCATTTTCTTTTACTCCTTGTAAACTGCTGCAACCTAGTGGCATTATCACCTTGCTTGGGGTGAAATGATTAAAAAAAAGAAAATGTAAAATTACATACCGCCTTTTCTAAGGCTGATTCAATGACAGGCTCCCGGTTCACTTTAAAGCGAATAAAATTAACGACAGCACTGCATAAAATGGTACATCGTTTTGGCCCTGAAAGAGAAATCGATATTATTTAAGGAAAAAAAAAAAAAAAAAATTGATATATATATATATATATATTATTAACCTTTAAGCTTGCTGGAGATGAAAATTATTGCCATAGAATTCTCTCCCTTTTCAGCAAAAGGTGCATTGTTACACTGAGATAGTTGCTATAAATAAACACTTGTCAACTGTTATTTCCGGTATTTTTAGCTGGAAATCGCCTACTACTGCTTTGGAATGAGGCTAAACTTCTGTTTACCAATGACATTTTGAATTCTTTTAAACTACATGACGTGTAACATCAATTAAACTTAAAATGTTTTGCAATTTTTTATAAACAAAAGAATCTATCTTACATATTTATAAGTTTACCATTCATCCATGCTTAGAATATTGCTGCCACATTGCTGCTATTTACCTTGAGCTCATTGATAAAATCAAGAAGAATCAGCAATATCATTGGCCTTGATCTGGCATCTCGTCTTCAGTCACTTTTCCACTGCCATAAGGTTGTTTCTTGTAAATACTTCTATGGTAATTGTTTAGATGAGCTCTTCGCTATGGTACCTAGACTTTTTGAGTGAAGGTGAAAGAAAAGACTGGGTATAGAGGGGACCAAGGAAAGGATAAAGGCTGAATAGGGTTCAAGAAGATAGATGATGTCGATTGATATTGCATTTAAATTTTTGAAGATTGTAGCTATCTGGGAAGCAAGGAACCGAAAGGAAGTTCCACAGGCATGAAGTGCGAGAAAAGAAACTGCTGGAGTAGAAGTGGTGATTACATTTACCTTAGTCAACAGTAAAAAAGTGGAACCTAGATGCTTAAACTAACGTAGTCTAGGCACCAGGAAAAAAATCTTCTCCAAGCAGTAGCCATGAAAATATTTGTAGAAAAGATAGAGAAAGTGACTGAAGTTGAGATGCCAAGTCAGGATTGATTATATTGCAGATTCTTCTTTAGATTTTGTCAAAAACCTCAAAATGAGTAGCAAGAGCACCTGACAAGATATAGCAACAGTAATCAATGGTAGATTTGTAAATGTACTCTGACAAGAAAAACCTTCTGGCACGACATAGTGATCTAGCTTTCTTTGCAGCAGATGTAGCTGTTGATTTGATGTAGGTGTTCCACTTCAAGTCAGTTGTGAACGAGGCCAAGAAGGAGCAGTGTGTAGCTCTCAATGAGTCTAGCATCAGCTATGCTGATGGCAGGCAGGAAAGTTTCTCTATGGTGGTTAAATGAAAGCAGTTTCGTTTTGGAGGAATTAAAATTCACAAGCCATTTCCTGCCCCAGTTAACCACTCATTGGTGGTTCTTTTCAAGAGCTGCAGCCAGTTTAACTTTGTCAGCTCTGACGGATTTGCTATTGAGACAGGAGTAAATGGTAGTGTCATCAGCATAAATACCTACGTTGGAACTGATGACATCAGGAAGATCATTGGTGAAGATGTGAAACAGCGAAAGACCCAGGATAAAACCTTGGGAGACACTCACATTTGAAGTGAACCCATTCAAAACAAACTTCATTTCACAATCTGATAGGAACAATTGAATTAAATCCAATAATACCATAGCCCTAGGGCTTACATAGAAGACCAGCATGCCAAACTCTGTCAAACGTCTTTGAGATATCTAGAGCCACAGCTTCACCATTATTATTAAGAGCTTGATATACACATTCATTTATAGCCATTAGCACATCAGTGGTAGGGTAGACCTGGTGAAATGGATGCCATATTGTTTGTCTGAGAAGTAAACATTTCAACATTGATTAAAAGCCTCGAATACTTTGCCAAAAAGCACTAAGATACTAATAGGGTAATAGATACAGAGAGTCAGATGTTCTCCAGAGTTCTTATAAACAGGAACTACATAGGAAGATGCCAAGTCAGGATCGATTACATTGCAGATCGTTCTTTGGATCTTGTCAATAACCTTGAGATGAATAGCAGGAGCACCAGACCAGATATGGCAACAGTATTCAATGCATGGATAAATGGTAAATTTGTAAATGTGAAAGATGGTGGTAAAATGAAAGCAGTTTCGTTTTGGAGGAATTAAAATTTACAAGCCATTTCCTGCCCCAGTTAACCACAGATTGGCGGTCCTTTTCAAGAGCAGCAGCCAGGTTTACTTTGTCAGCTCTGACAGATTTGCTACTGAAACGGGAGTAAATGGCAGTGTCATCAGCATAAATACCTATGCGGGAACTGATGACATACTAGAATCTATAGATAGGCATAAATTATCGAATGGGTTTACACTTGAGTCTATAGGTAAACACTGGATTGGTTCAACCTTGATTCTTTATGCAAGCATTAGTGGGGTTTATACTCAACTCTGTAGATAAGCGTTGGTTGGGTTTATATTTGAATATGCAAGCATTCACCTTTGCAGAATATCAGAATACAACTGCATCTATCCAGAAGAATACTAGAATGAAGCAAATGCCTCTTCTTTAGAGGGATGAAACACATTCCCCCTCTGCACAAGATGCAGTTGGTATATTCTAGGCCCTGCCAACAGGGCAACCAAGAAAACGTACTTACTAGGATCCCTGATATCCTTGAATGTGAAGTCATTGATGCCACAGGAAAAAAATAATTGCTGCCTGAAAAGAATAAAATGCATATTATTTCAGACTGAATTGCTTGTTAGCAGTTCAATTATAACAGTTCTTGACCATTTACACTTTTCAGTCATACTAATATTTACTACAACTTACAAATAGAACAATTCTTTCAGTTATAGATAAAAAAATTGTTACAGAATGAATAAGCTGGCAAAAAACAGCCAACTACTGGTCAGAACTCTGATGAGGGATGTTTGGACCCTGCAGCCATAGAATTCTAACAGCAATAAACTACCTTTGCTTAGATTGATTGATTTGTTTCTTTAACAACATATCAGCCCCTTTATGGGTTATTTAATACCAAAATTTAATTTTCTTAGGGGCTTTGAATTAATAAAAATAGGATATCTATTATTCTGCTTTCACAACTGAATATATGGTAGATGATACTCAGCTTTTGGGCATATACATGTTTGTGTGGACATAATTACTAGAGGCAGTGATATGTGTGTTTTATGTTGTAGTGTTGAAGTTAAATTTTGGAATACAGTTTGATTTAAGAAATTGTAGGATATAAGGATTAGTATTGTGAAAGAATTCTTTCATGTTAGTAATTCTACTATAAATAGGTTTTGTTGGTAATTTTTGTATATAAAAGTGTATTGTGGTATTTTTACTATAAAATATGTTTTTATACTTTCATAGTGTTCTGTTTGGGAGGTTCACTTATTTAGTCATAGCTGGGATTCTAACAGGTACTACCACCCCAAATCAGGAATGACCTGGGAACAAAAGTAATTAAATGTGGTTCTACGCTCATCAAACCCTCCAATCTCCAGATCAGAGGCTTTGTTGGATGTAGTTTATCATGTCCAAGATGAGCCTTGGATATAAAATCATAAAGGGACAAAGAGAGACAGATGGTTCAAGATGCCTCTCTGCACCCAGATTCCTTAGTGAGGCAAGCCAGCAAATGGCAATGAGATTTTGGCCAACCGGCTGACATGGGTCCTCTTGATAATCATCTTTTTCCCATTTCGTTTTCTATAAACAATACTCCTATTATTGTCCCTCATAGAATAAAATGAGTAAAAAAAAAAACAAAAAAAAAACAAAGAGCAAGGAGCATTATAGCATTCAGTTCAATAGAGACATAGTTTTTATCTTTATCGATCCCTAAAAATATCTATATAATGGACCACGTATATTTGGATATTTTTTGCTGTAATAAAGCAAACAAAACAAAATAATTAAATTCTATCCGGATTTAAAGTCCAACCTGGAGGCAAGCATATTGGTGAAATATCCACTACTCTTATATTCTTTCGTCTGAGCAGCATGGTGAAAATCAACATATAAGTATTGTTAGGCAGAGTTCACAGATACTACACTGATCCAAAGTAAAGGGCTAATAAGCAAAACTTTAATCTCAGAGAAATGATTGTTAGGCAGAGTGCACAGGTACTATACAGAGCAGAAGTAGAATTTATTTATATTATTTACATGTGGTCTATTGTCCTCATCTTTGCTGCTATGATAAGAACAATAATCTGAATGTAAATAATTTCTGGCTATGATCTGTATAGTATCTGTGCTCTTTGCCCAACATTAAAACCGTAGAGCACAATGGCTAAAACGTTGTGATAACAACAACAAAGATAATGACAATAGTCCACATGACAATAGAAAATGTAAATAATATAGTCTACATGTAAATAATGATAATTCCTCATCCCAGAAATTCAGACGATAAGTGATCGGGTGATAATAACGTTAAAGATGAGGTTAGTCTGAATGTAAATAATGATAATTTCTCATCCCAGAAATTCAGACGGTAAGTGATCAGGTGATAATAACAATAAAGATGAGGACATTAGTCTGAACGTAAATAATGATATTTCCTCATCCCAGAAATTCAGACGGTAAGTGATCGGGTGATAATAACAATAAAGATGAGGATATTAGTCTGAATGTAAATAATGATAATTCCTCATCCCAGAAATTCAGACGGTAAGTGATCGGGTGATAATAACAATAAAGATGAGGATATTAGTCTGAATGTAAATAATGATATTTCCTCATCCCAGAAATTCAGACGGTAAGTGATCGGGTGATAATAACAATAAAGATGAGGATATTAGTCTGAATGTAAATAATGATAATTCCTCATCCCAGAAATTCAGACGATAAGTGATCAGGTGATAATAACAATAAAGATGAGGATATTAGTCTGAATGTAAATAATGATAATTACTTATCCCAGAAATTCAGACGGTAAGTGATCGGGTGATAATAACAATAAAGATGAGGATATTAGTCTGAATGTAAATAATGATAATTCCTCATCCCAGAAATTCAGACGGTAAGTGATCGGGTGATAATAACAATAAAGATGTGGACAACTGTCAGAATGTAAATAACAACTCCTCCCAGAAATTCTGGCAGAAATGTCGATCCAGACATATATCATGACATTATTTTTTGAGTACTGTGCATATTTCCATATTTAACAACTCATTTATGAAACCCTAATAATAAGGATTTAATCAGATAAAATAACCGTTATTTTTTTCAGCATGGTTAAATTAGTATTAATAATATGTTACTAGAACTAGTATTAATATAATATTCTACAGAATATAAAGTTGGGGGGTCATTTTTTTGCTATTTAGTAACAAACAAACCCTACAGAATTACTTCTATATGCCATTTCCCTTCATGACATAAGTAATCATGGCTCTCCACAATTTCCTGCCCTTTTTAGCTCTTAGTAAAGTTTGTCTTTTTGCTATCTCTCCTAATCCCTGTTTTACCAAACTTTTTAGGTAGATTATGCACTACTTTCCTTGGTTTTGCTTCCTTTCAATGAGTGAGTGTCACATTTTATAGAATTACTACATCTTAAAATAATAATTGGAAAATATAATAATAATGGCTAATAATTTATATCACTATTTATATTGGTATGATTAGACTAGTTTTAAAATAAAGTTTGATTTGCTTGTAAAATTTTCATGAATTTCATAAAACTGGTCATTTTAATTTGTTCCGAGTAATATAGAAAAATTAGCATAAAATGAAGCATTTTTAGCTTGTATTATAATTATTTAGGCATGTTTTAGATGCATGCAATTTATTTTTCTATAGTATATCATAAAAACAAAAGTTAATTTTTAAAACAAAATTTGGCAATCTTGTGTCTTTGTAACCCACACACAAAAAACCCCCCAAAAAACCCAATGAAGTGTCAAAAGGATTATTTTAACTCCTTTCACTTCTTGAGAATTTACAAAAAAAAATATTAAACACTATTAGTGTTAATTTACAAAAATAATTCTATATTTACAACATTCTAAAAACTAATACAATTAGAATTGATGCATCATTTACCAACTTATGAAGAAATAAATATGAAAACAATTTATTAATAAATTTACAAACATTTACTAAATTATCAAAATATGTGAATCAACTATAAGGAAATCCTTATTATTTACCATTTCATAAAGTTTGAATCACTTGGCAGTTAATATTTTGCCAATCATTCCAATAAATAATATAAATAGTGTAAATCAACAATCTAATAAAATATATACTCACATTACCAGGGTGAACCAGATGATAGCACCAGATTCTTCATAGAATTCAGGATTTTCAGACTTGCAGTATTTAGGAAAGAGAAGTGAGGCTTTCTGAAAAGTGAAACAATAAATTTTAACAATAACCTTGTCTATCAGACAATTTCAGTTTGGTTTGGTTTATCAGCATATCATCCATCTTGGTTCATTTAATGCTGAAAATTGGATTTTTATTCAATAATATTTCAGGAAGTTTGAAGTTTTATAATTAATGAAGTATAGTTGAAAACTAGTTGTATAGTTCATCTATAGATGAAGTTGTCTGGGTTAAAGTTTGGTGTACCATTTAGTATTCCTCAAATAGGTCAAAATGGTTTTTACATTTACATTTTTGAAAAGTTCCTTAAGGCTATTAACCTTATAAAAGCATTTATGGTTAGAAAAAAATTTGGCACAGTCCATCATAAAATATCTTACTGTGTATGTCTCCTAACATATTATGCATTTAGGTGGACCCTCATCTTTTAGAAGGAATGAATTTGCAATGTTGGTATGATCAATTTTGATTCTTCCTAAGACTAGTTCTTCTCTTCAGGAAAGACTGGTGCTATGGTGTTTTATCCCAAGTGTAGGTTTGATTTAGTACAATTTAATATTTAGATGAATATTCCATAAATCTTGCCACTTATTTAAGATACAGTGTAACCCGGATATAAGAGAGTTGTCGGGACCGGAGAAGAAGTCTCTTATATCCGGGTTTCTCTTATATCCGGGTTTGGTCTATTTTATATACATTAACACAGGCTCTAATTTGGGACCAGAGACAATCTCTCTTATATACGGGTTTCTCTTATATCCGGGTTTGGCCTATTTTATATACATTAACACAGGCTCTAATTTGGGACCAGAGACAATCTCTCTTATATCCGGGTTTCTCTTATATCCGGGTTACACTGTATATGTAGCAATAGCTGTTTTGAAATCTGGATGAGGAACTTTTGTTTTTGATAGCTTCATTTTTAGTGATTCTTTAGCCGTCATATCTGCCTTTCCATTTCCTTGGATGCTTATACGGCTAGGGATCAGCAGATGACGTTTTTGGTTACAATACAAAGTATATGGATTTTGTTTAAAAGTTTGGTTATTAGAGGATTCGTCAGATTTTTTAAAAATTCAATGATGTAAGTACAAAGAATATAATGAATCTGCCTGACTCACAATCTGTGATCATATCCAAGGCTATGTCTATTGCCAAACAATCTGTGATCATATCCAAGGCTATGTCTATTGCCAAACAATCTGTGATCATATCCAAGGCTATGTCTATTGCCAAACAATCTGTGATCATATCCAAGGCTATGTCTATTGCCAAACAATCTGTGATCATATCCAAGGCTATGTCTATTGCCAAACAATCTGTGATCATATCCAAGGCTATGTCTATTGCCAAAGCATCTGCACCAAAAATTGTCAGACAATTTTAAGACACAGAAGATGAAGGTCATCTGATGAAGGTCGTCACTTTGCTATAAGAGCCGACTTGTTGGTCACTTTGCTATAAGAGCCAACTTGTTGGTCACTTCATTTTTATACGTTTATAGTGTTTTGACCTCAGTTTGGGGGTTAAGTATTTGCTAGTTGGGACCCTAACAGGTACTACCACCCCAGGTGAGGATGAATCCAGTGACAACAGCAAGTAAGAGGTAGTCCTATGCTCTTCAAAATCTCCAATCTCCCAAATAGAGGCCTATCATCATAGCCAGGACAGGACATATGGAGAGAAATGCTCAACTGCGCAGTGTTTCTACAACCACACCCAGTCATGGGACTGATGATGATGATGACAATGTATAATATACACTTACCTCTTCTCCATTTTCAGGCTTCTCCTCAGTAAGAGATTCAAATATCATCCCATAGATTTTATACCAACGAACAGGCTACAGAAAAAAAAATATATATATATATTTAATCTTTTCAAGAAAAACACAAATCTGAACTTAAATTAATGAAAAGATTTAAAATTATTGCAAACAAGGGGGTGGTGACCAAAATATGGGTCAACAATGACTAAATGGGAAGAAATTCTGTATTGAACTATAAAATCATCTGTACAGCTATTTAAAAACTGAGGTCAACAAAAGTTTGAAGCAACTCCAGAATTAGCATGGGATGAACTTGACAGAAGAGTGTGGAAAAAGAAAAAGAAAAGAAAAAATGGAATCAGTTATCAAACTTATACTTTGAGAAACTTTTGCAACAAATGCCAAACATTTGTGCTGAAGTAATCAAAGCTAAAGGAGGATATTTTGACAAGAGCAAAATTTAATCATAAAATGCTTTTTTGCTTTTGTCATAATAAAATTTCTAATAAAAATCATGTCCCATTTATTTTAACCATCTATATAGTAAATGTGAATGTCAGTGTATCATTGTGTCACACTTTACTCCAAGAGGTTGTAGCCCAACATGGTACCATGGAATCAGGGCAATTCAGTGAGCAAACTAAAAATATTATGGGCTGGATCTGCACATGCAATCCTGAAATTTTTGATTCCCAAGTTTTCATTACTGTGATTGCTTTTGGCTGCTGCTGCTGGAAGTCATAGTTTATGATAGGGTTTCTGTTATTTGGTACTGTTCATTGAGATTTTGTACAATTAGCTAAAACTTAGGAAGTAAATTGTTAGACTTGCCAATATTCCAGGAGTTAAAATTGCACATGTCAGAATTTCAGTTAATATTCAATTTATTACTTAGTTGTATATTATATTGTACAGATTTAAGAATATAATTACATAATTATTATTTTGATGTCTGGTAACTCTACAAGGGCTATTTAGTACCATGTAACCTATTACTAACCTCTACATGGTCAAGTTATCAGTAACTAAACTGGTTCACCCCTCAGACTTTTCTAATAAAGAGAATGGCTAGACAGGCAGGAAAATTAAAAACAAATCCTGTCAAAAGACAGATGAACCTTCTTTCAATGGCCATCTAGCACAATTGACTTGAGTTTTTAGGTTAATGTTTTGATTTTGTAGCAACCAGCGGTGTTGTGTGAAACTACCCTTACTGCAACCTATTCTATGTTCGACTTTCTTAGTATTCTTTTAAAAGGCCTTTATTCAAAAGTTAATTCTATGCAGCTATCTATGACTCCATTATTATTATTATTATTATTATTATTAAGAAGAGTTTACCAACAAAGTGACGCAAGGGTGCAAATTTACAAAACCCAATAAACCCAGCATAACACTCTGTCTGATAAAATCATACCAGGCACATGTCTCACAGCCAAATGTGAATATGGTGACAGGTTTTGATAAAAGCAATGCATACCTTGCAAGTGGAGCCCAGTGAGAAATAACCTCATGTTGGGTAACCCAGTCTGTCCAGATAACAAATTGATTGAGGGTGTTCCTAAGTGTCTAGATGTGACTCCCAAGATACTTCAGCTGACTTAACTTAAAAAAAACTTTTTTGACACCCACCCATGATACTCTCCCGCTTATGAACAGAGATGCACATTGAGCCAACCTCTCAAGTACATGCCCAACTTGTTATGGTCAGGCAATTGGAAAGAAAATATGTGGTACTGAACAGGATATTTACTGGAGCCCATCTAAATTTACCAAGGCAAAAACATGTACATGTTAACACCTTTAATCAATTAAATTAAGCTGTATTCTTTGTTTAAAATATTAATAGCTCAATAAATGCTGGAATTCTGGTAATTTTGAGGCATTATTTAATGAAACCACTGAAATTTCTAGCAAAATTTAATGAAACCACTGAAATTTCTAGCAAAATTTAATGAAACCACTGAAATTTCTAGCAAAATTTAGGAAGTGAAAAGAAATGAAACTATATCAGACTAAAACTGGTTTTAGTGTTTTAACAGTGGTGACTAGTCTCTTGAAATAAAGTCTACAAGATGACTACAATTTGTCAATTATGATGTTTTAAAACTCAAGGCATGAGAGAAGTTTTTTTAAAAGAACTAGGATCATTAAAATCTACTACATGTTGAGCATTGCAAAATCTTTAAAAAACAGAGTTTGTTAAAAAATGAAAATACTTTTAATACATAAATATACAAACAATAGCTCTGTTTTCTTCTTCAAGACACCCTCACCAAAAACAAAAGAGTAACAACATACTTCTGGTTTTTTGAAATCTGCTTCGCTGACGAATGATAATGATGTGACAATGTCTTCAATGGAGAGCAACGGAAAACTGTATTCAGACATTGTGACAGATTGTTGTCAAACTAGAAAATAAAAAAAAAAAAAAAAAGAAAAAGATTGTAAAAAATTATGCGTTATTCAGATATTCAAAGGTGGGGGGAAAAAATTTCAGCATGGTACTGATACAAACAGCAATCATCCATTAATGGTTAATTACATGACAAAAACACACAAAGAATAAATGGCTAAAAATGAGAGAAGTGAAGAAAGAAATTTGACGGTAATGTCTCACTTGATTTTCCCCATCTTTACATGATGCCTTGTTTGCTGGGGTCAAGAATACGCAGACTGCACTCTATGGAGCAAGGTAACCCATCACTAAAAGCGCCATCAGTTTACTGTAATTATGTCAACCTCTTTGACCCTCGCACAACCCAGAGCTCTATGTCAACCTTTCTATTGTTCCTTGAAATGAAAAATTTCAACATCAAATGACCTGGAAAAAGTTGATATGCCATAGAACCTAACCAAACCTTATCTTTACATGACTGTTTAAAAATGATATCTACAGAAAAAAAAATCCTTTCTTTTTATTATTAAGACAATAAAATCAACCTGTGAAAGTTCATTAAAAAATGAAAATACTTTTGATATATAAATATACAATGGTTCTTTTTTTTTTTTTCCTTTCTTCAAGACTCACTCACCAAAAACAAATAAGCAACAACAACATACTTTTGTTTTTTTTAAATTATTCTGATGTGAATAATAAAATTTATTTATAAAAAAAAAATAACATACAGGTTTCAGTCCCATGGCTGCTAGATTTACAATAGAATTTATAGTAGTATTTTGTTAGAAACAAAGAAATGAGTATCAATACCTGTTATGTAATATCAGTCCTCCTATAAAGCTAATGAATGCTGGACAATCTCTTCAGAGATGAAGAAGAGACTTTAAGCTAAGCAAAAGAAATGTGGTTCTACTGAAGGATGCTGAGAATACCATAGACTGAACATGTGAGAAACAAAGTTTTAGAGAAAATAAAAATAAAAAGAACACTTATACTTATCAGAAAGAGGCAGTTGAAATTTCTGGGGCACATGATGAGAAGAGAGTGCTTGGAAAATCTGATACTCACAGGAGAGATCGAAGGCAAGAGACAGAGGAAACTAATGCACAACCAACCTGGCAAGCTTGACTGAATGGATGGTGGTGCAGGATTTGGAAGAGATGGCAAAAATAAAAATAAGTTATTAAAAGCTACAATGGATAGGAAATTGTGGAGAGACATGATCACAAACATTCTGAAGGGACATGACACAGAAGAAGATTGCCTCAAGAATATTTGACTAATTCATGAAAATTTGCACACATTGAAAATGTTCATATAAAGTTATGAAAAGAAAAAGGATATTTAATGAACTTTATCAGCTCTATTTTCAATTATTATCATTTTTTATGTGCACACCAGAATATTCAATAAGTAAATTATGTCTCTTTTTATATTCTAATTGAACTGCTTTTCTGTGAATCTGACTCCCAAGAGGATGCTTCCCTGATCACTACAATCTTAACCTGTTCAATTCATTTATCTTCCTGACATATCCACATAAACACTGTCTCTAACTTTGTAACCCTCTATCTAAAATGGCTCTTGGGCCTTTTACAAGGGCAATATCATTGTAAAAAAAAATTTAAAAAAATAAATAAATAAATTTTTCTCTTATTTCCACTGTTCTTTCTTTAAAACCACTTCTAATGTAAAATTTCAGTAAAATCTTAAATAAAACAAAACAAAAACAAAACTTATACCCTGTATAAGAGTTAGCTGAAAAGTTCAAAGGCTGACTATGAAGGAGTGATGCTAGAGCTGTAAAACATTGCATGCATTAATTTCAACTAAAGTTATGTTCAAGTTCAGGCACTTGTATGACTAACAATCAGAGTTGCACTAAAAGCAACTAAAATTAAAATGAATAAAATATTTCCATAGTTCACAGTAAATACTTAATGATACTTTTTTTTTAAAAGACCAAAGCATGATAGGAAAAACATTTATAAACATAAAAAGTAGAAAACATGTAGTTATTGGTGTTGTTGCAATCTGCGACGTCTGACAAAACTTTCTGAACAAAACACAATATTTTCTTGATACGCCTGGTGTAAAACTGCAACGACTCATAAACTCCTTCAAATCTCTAACTCTCCCCTGATGTGTCTTTCAGGGTCCATTTCCACTTGGCAGTCCATATCCTCTTGGTAAGATCAAAAGTGGCCTCAAAATCCGGTTCTTTGACACAAAGGGCTGCACATGCTTGTTTTCTTCCATTGAGCGCATGGGTTGATGCGAGCACATTGGCGACTGGAGTGGTGTTGGAGAGACATGGTGACATCCTGGAGGATGCATGTTGGCTTCGTCCGACAAATGACGCTCAGCATATGAATTTGGAAGATGCCTTGCCTTTGGTATGTTGTACGACACCCATTAGAGGAATCAAACCCTTAGGAGGTCCTAGTTGTTCCTGGGGGTATGGGATCAACCAACCGTTTGTGATCCACATTTGCTCCCAGGAACAACTAGGACCTCCTTACCACTACAAAACATTAATTCAGCTTTTCAATTGGATTATGCTCGGCTATAATTCTGCTGTATTGATATTTGTTAATATTAGCTTCATCCAGTACAAGGCCATCTGGTGAGTGGAAGAGGATAAGGGTAAAATCGTGTTTGACACCTTTCCATGTGGCCTGCTTGGAAAATCAAATCAGACATTTGAAATCTTAGTGTTGGGTTGTTATTTTATAATGGCTTTCTGCCTCAAGAAGCTCCCAAAAATATAAATATGAGGTCCATATGAAAATAAATAAAAATTAATTATAGTGTCAAAAATAATTATAATAAAATACTTATAACAATTATATTTATCATTAATTCCCTCTTTCTAAACCAATGAGAATCAATCTTACTTTTCTGCTTTACACACACTATTGGACAGGCAGTCAACACTCTGTATTACTGTTTCTTGTTTCTCCAACACCACATAACAACCAGATAACAAATAATACTAGTTTTGTTGTTTCTATATCTTGCCGTTTCTCATTTTTATGAGTATTTTCATATATATAAATGTAAGGGGCTTTTTATTTTGCAGAATTATCCCTCCCCCATTTTTTTTTTTTTATCCATTTCAAAAAGACTGATTGAGTGATTTGTTTTTTATGGCTTAACAACCCTTTGCAAGTTATTTAAATCCCCAAAACATTTTTAGATTGTAAGAATTTTTTTGGTGGGGGAGACAATAATGATTTAGTGTTACAAGTCTTACTAATTAACCCATAGCTGGGGGAAATTTGTAGAAAGAGTACATGCTGAGGAGAAGGAGGTTTGTTCCTGTACACATTTTCAGAAAGAAAGGGCAGAAGACAATTAGCCAATCAGCTGTGTTGCATTGAAGTGGCTGCAATACCAGTCGGTCCTTTTCATGATATATTTTACAATTTGGTACACGAACATGTAATTTCTGCAATCAGTTGACTACTGATGATTAATTTACATGACAAAAATTAATGCACAAACTTGGTAAAGTAGAAAGGTTGATTGTATTATTTAATTTTTTTTTTAATTTGTCCCCTTTTCTACACAGAAAACCTTTTCCTAACCTTAACACCTAATCCTAAAGTTAATCTTTTTTAATTTGTCCCCTTTTCTGCACAGAAAGAAAACCCTAACCCTAAAGATTAACTTTAGGGTTAGTTGTTAAGGTCAGGGGTGGGGTTTTCTGTTTAGAAAAGGGGACAATTTAAAAACAAATGAAATAATACAATCAACCCTTCTACTTTACCAAGTTTGTGTATTAATTTTTGTTTTTTTTACAATATAAAAAATGCTTTTTGTTCTTTTAATTTGTCATTGCAATTCGAAACGGAAAAAAGGTTCTATTGTATTATTTAATTTGTTTTTGTTATAGGTAAAACTAAACTTATCAAAAAAAAAATTTACATTTCTTTATGGTAGTAGTGCGTAGTGATTTTCTGCAAGGAAAGTCTGTAAAAGAAGTAAATAGGCCCAAATTTTATGACTCTGCCAAAAATCTTTCCGCAGTGAATTACTTCTCAATAAGCCGGTAATGGCTGACGAAAGACCACCAAGAAGTCCGATTTTTTTTCTGGCCGTTACGGTTAACATCTAAAAACTAAAAAAGGTAGGTTTCTTCATGATCTAATTGTTGATTTGAGTTCAGCATGTACATTTGCACGGAAATAAAAGACTATTTTGGAAATATTTGAAGGGATATTAGCGCTTGGGAAACAAAATAGAAATTTACCGAAAAAAAAAAAAAAAAAAAAAAAAAAGATTTATATTCTCCAAGTCCTAAGTCCTACTTTTAACTAATAAAACAACTTCTCCTTGAAACTTAATTTCTCGAAATTTCATGAAATTAAGTTGGGGGGGTAACTTATTTAAAAAATAAATAAATAAAAATAATTTTTTTTTTTACCAAGATTTTCTAAAACGAAGGATTTAAAAAATAATTTCATTCATTAGTGAAAAAATCCTGAAAATTTCATTAAAATCCGAGAATTATTTGATTTTTGCAAGAATTTCCAAATTTTTCGGACACGCTATTTATTTCAGTAAAAAAAAAAAAAAAAAAAAAAGTGGAGGTACCTACAGAAATACAGGTTCGATCCCCCCTGTAACGCATATTTTCTACGAAAGTAATTGAATACAATTTACATTCGTTTAACTTTAAAAATTGACTATTCTACTTTATTTTAGTTTCTTGATTTTTAAATAAGAAAAAATGTTTTTTAATAGAACTTAAGTTTCCTCCTAAAAAAATATTTCATTTTATATTTGATTTTTTAGTTTTATGTTAAGAAGGAAAAAAAAAAGCGTGCTTAGAATATGAGGATAGAAAACAATCTCTAAGTGATGTAATTAAAATAAAATTATTTGGTGTGATCAACAAAACTTTTCGGATAGAAAAAAGGAAGATACAGAAATAAATAAAATAAAACAATGGTACGTATATAAGAAAATTCACATAAAACTGAAAATTTCTTAAACTTCTTTTTTTCCTAAATTTAAAAATTTGACAACGTTATTCCAAAGCATAAGAAGACACTCGACTCGAGGAAGGCTAGAGTTGTATGGTTGAAACATTGTGAAAAAGAAGAAACAAAAATAAATAAATAAGATTCAAATTTTGTCCGAATTTTGTTAAAATTGTGTTTTAATAATTTTTCGGGAATAAAACAAATTAAATTCGTTCAGAAACAAAAAATGATTACGAACGATGCGAGAGCGACATTTGTTTTTGTTAGGAATCTACTCCATTGATGCACGAAGATTGAATGTCTAAAAACATTCAGAATAACATTGCCTTTCGTTGTTTATGTATCGATAAATAAGAAAACAAATAAATAATATAAGAGAAAGTTAATTTGGATCCTGTCAGCAAATACCTTTTATTTTTTTAGATATATTTTCTTTCTCCTTCTCTGATGACGAAGAAAACAAAAAATTCTACCACACAGAGTTTTAGCCTTGTAACAACATTTTTAAAGCATCCGTTCGAAAAAATATTTGCTAATTAGCAAAAGATGATAATTATCAACAAAAATTCACAAATAAAAGGACGATAAAAACCATGTATTTTTATTTACCTTGTCCTTAACGCAATAAAAGTAAGATTCCGATGACGTCGTCAGCACAAAAAAACTACCGTTTTCAGTTTGAATTTGGCGCAGTCAAGGGGAGGTAATTCTAAAATATTTTTTGTATTACTTGGGGGCGCCACTTGTATTGTACAGGGTGGTCCGAAAGTCTTGTCACCCATACATAATATGATTTTCTATTTTAGATGGCTGACACGAGCTCCAACCGTTTGGATGAGTAGTAGAGGGTGACAACATTTTTGAACCATCCTATCTTTTCGAACGTCGATTTGTGACTTGCAAACTAGCCCGTGAGTCTAATAATCTAATTCTCACTAAAGTAAAAACGCTTAAAAACTCTTATGACGTACCTCCACTTTTTAGCATAAATATTGGATACCCCAAGGTTTAAAATGAATTTTTAAAAATGAAAACGCATTCTTGAAGATTTCATTTTAGCTTTAATTAAAAGCTAAATGATTAATTTCCAGTAAAATATTCTGGTGTATTTCAGATAGAAATTATAGATTGTGATGTCAAATACTTGCGCAATTTTTTAAAAATTTTCATAAAAACGGCCATTGTTTTATTTTAAGAAATTTGTAAACAAAACAAAATTATCGGTTTTAAAAATCTTCCAAAAATAAAATATATATTTCTGACACGTTATTTGAGTAAAGTTAGCAAATTCAAAGTTTCGAAATGAATAGAAGCATTTCTTAACGATTGGTTCACTTTTTCAGGTTAGTGAATATCAATGTATTAACAAAGTTTATCTTAGTACAGCTCACGTTCAAATGAATACGAAATAGAAAGATTGTGCAACACCAATCTTCAAATAATCAAAATTAAGTTCAATCTGAAAAATGAAATGCACCTGTCCGCCTTAAAAATAAGGTATTCTGGCTTACCAACTGTATTTATCTAATATTTAAGGATACAATATTCTGCTAAAAAGTACTCTACTACTAACTACTTTATATAATTTTTGTCTGAATTTCTGGGATGAGAAGTTTTTATTTATTATTCGGACTATTGTCGTTGAAAAAAAACAAAACAAAAAAAACATATTGAAAAAAGGCCCCAAGCTTAATAAAACCAAAGTTTGATCATCAAAAATATTCATGTTAATTATTAAGAGGAAAGATCAAAGTATTTTTTGATTATTTTATTAAATTTTTTACTCATCTCTAGCACGTTCGAAATGTTGGTTAAAAATCTTTTTTTTTCTTTTTTTTTTGGCGTGATCGGTCGACGTATTTATGATTATTGTTTCAGTGCTCTTTTTCCGGTGAAAAACACATTGATTTGGAAATTCTTGCAAAAATCAAGTAATTGTCGGATTTTAATAAAACTTTCAGGACTTAGTCAGAAATGACGGAAATTATTTTTGAATCTTTTGTTTTTAGAAAATCTTGGTAATAAATATTTTTTACACGTTACCTCCCTCCACTTACGTAATTTCATGAAATTTCGAGAAATTAAATTTCAATTTCAAAATGGTTTTTAAAAGCAGGACTCTTTGGAGAATGTGAATCACCAATTTTTTTTTTTCAAACTACTACCCATTTTCCGAAAATCTGCTCCGAATCGTAAAGTAAAAAATGCAATAAAAATATGACAGCCATTATTTAGAAAAGCTTTTAATTGCTTTTATAAATAAGATCTATTAAGGACACTATTTATTATCTTACGAAAAAAAATTTCCGATGAAGAATGAATTTCTACTATTTACATTGTTCGGACTGTTGTCCTCATCTTTGTTGCCATATTCGGCCGTTGTACGCTCCTACCTTCTCTAGGTGATGGGAATTTAGAACAGAATTTCGTCTACCGGGGTATATTGTTCTAATTCCACGTGCTATGCCTCTTCCAGATGTCTTAGATATCTTCCTTTAACTCAACTCTCCAAGTCTTTGTTCACCAGTGCAGTAGCCAGGTATTGAACTCAAAACGCTTTGGTCAAGTCCCTGGATCCAACTAAGGTTTTTTTTTAATCCACTATGCCATGTGTCCCAAGAATTGTTTTCTTTTTTTCTTTAATTTCAATTATAATAATTTAAATCTTTTAAAATTCTGCATTACTTTAATCCGGTTACGTAAGTGAAAATTATATTTACGAATAAAAATTGAAAAGCTTGGTATATTTGCTTTTTAAGCCCTGCGCTAAATATCTATTAAAATTTTCCCAAAGCGTCATGTGTGTTAAATGTACACGCTGACCTCGAAATAACAATTAAATTTTAATAAAAACTACCGTTTTGGAGTTATCCACAATAGAAGTTCGGACTTAGTCGCGTTCAGCCGTCGGCCATAACTGACCTTGTTTAACTACATTCACTGCGGAACATTTTGTGCGCGGAAGCTTAATTAACGGCCTTTTTACTGCTCTTAACTGATCTTACTCGTCTAAATTACTGTGCACTTAAGTTGTGTCGGAAATCGATGACAGGAGTTTTTTTTTTTTATAGTATACCCCTTATTCTGTGTAGGAAAGCAATGTCGACTGTTGTAAAGCTTTTATTTTAAATTAAAATTAAAACAAATAATAATTAATGAGCACACTTTGTAAAGAGCATGAATATCTACAAAATAAAATTACGAAAAAAATGCTAGAAAGAAAATAATATTCTATGACCAAAGTTCTTTACAAAGTTTTCGTATTAATTATTATTTTGTTTCTAGCATTTTTTTTATTTTGTAATTATATTTTGAAGATAATCAGGACACGCCTGGATTTTACCAAAGGATTACTACTTGTGTATATATATATATATATATATATATATATATATATATATATATATATATACATGCAGGTAGTAATCCACTGGTTATATTCAATACGAGTCTTATTAACACAACATAGAATTTCAAATATGTTAAAACTGACTCACAAAAGAGCGCTCAATATTTATTTTCATTAAACAGAGCAAATTTTCTTTACAATGGGATTGAAGATACCTTTAATTAATGTAATTAATGACCATTTTCACCTACGAATTTTAATTTTAAAATTCGCAGGACTTTTCAAACTGTTTACGGTATCAATTTGGTTATATATATATATATATATATATATATATATATATATATATATATAAGGCCATATCTCTTCAGGACGTAGCCCTTTTCTTTCTTTATTTTTTATAATTTTATATACCTTCAGACTATAGGCGATGATAGCTCTCTCTCTCTCTACAAATGATCTTTTCTTTCTTTCTTTCTTTCTTTCTTTCTCATAATGCTATATACCTTCAGGATATAGGCGACGATAGCTCTCTCTCTCTCTCTCTAAATGATCTTCCTTTCTTTCTTTTCAAGTCACATCCCTTCAAGGCATAGACAATCATGGTTCTCTCACTAAAGATGCCAATGTCTTACTTTCTTTTTTCTTGTGAATTACCATGACTTTTTGGGAAAGATGGTTGAATGGCTTCCCATTGCTTTCTCCATTGATTCAGAGTACTTCTTCTATTAGACTGACTACCACCAAAAGCTACAGAACCTTGTTTAGTCTGATTTTTAATCCATAGCTGGTTGGGGAGAAAAGAGATGAATACCCGTTCTAAGTACGAAAGTGAACGCAAGAAACTAAGTCAGAATTTGAACTCAGCTCCCCTAGTTCACTTTTCATGCCAATAACTGTTGCAGAACACGCACATTTTCCCTTTGACTTTTTAATTCTCCTCGTCTTTTGGCAAAGTATTTTCTTACCGTTCTCAGTTCTCAAATGATTATAAATCCAATTTTCACTATCATTTTAGCATCGCTCGAGCAACATCTTCGTATTTATCGTTTTTATTCCTTTCCATTTTACTTGTATATTGAAATTAATACATTTACGATTAACATTTATTATATATTATTTACTGTTACTATATATATATTTATATTTACGATATAAATTTCTAGGAACACAAAAAGAGATTATCTCCCTTTAGTGGAGATGAACTCACGTGGGTCATTTGACACTGGTTTAGTGATGTCACTTCATACTAAGTTTCAGTCAGCTTCATTGAGTCAAACCGAACAGTCGCTTTTTAGGCTAAATCTGTCACTTCCAACCACATGGTGCAGCTTACAAGCGCAGAGCACCGTTTTCCTGTGAAAATATATCTTCATATATGCAAAATAACTCCGGCTCGCTGTCCTTATGTTCTAAAAAGCACAAGTCACGCTGTTTCCCCTTTCCGGAATATGTCCTCACTTGAGACATAGTAGATACATCTAGTCCACTCGGATCTGGAATCCTCTATATGGCTTCTCCAGAAATACAGAAGAATCTCCATATTATATGTAAGACCCTATATTTTCGTTCTCCTTTCATTCTGCTTGTTGTGTAGATATGTATATATTTTCTCTGTGTGGGATACGTATAAATATATAGTTTGTGTAAGATTAGCAGGATAAAACTCTCTCTGAGAACAAAATAAGTTTGTCATTGCTTTTCATTTCATTCATTACGTTCCGTCCGTGAAATGAGGTGTTGTATCATGGATATAATAATACCTAAAATGGGGGAAATGCAAATGGGAGATGGAGTCACGTGGGTCATTTGACGCTGGCTTAGTGATGTCACTTCATAGTAAGTGTCAGTCAGCTTCATGGAGTCAAACCGAACAGTCGCTTTTTAGGCTAAATCTGTTTCTTCCAATCACATGGTGCAGCTTACAAGCGCATAGCTTATTTTCTTCTATAGTTCACCCATTATCTGGGTCAACCCGACGTGATATGGTATTATTTACCCCCAGTAATAGTTGAACACAATGCGATATTATTAACATCCATGGTTTGGGGATTTACCCGATATGCGATATTTACTTCCATTACATTTACCATAGATCAATGGTTAAAATGGCTTTGAACAAATGACTCCTGTAAGTTTTAGTGACAACTATCTTTCTTTGAACCTTGAGAACTGACGTCACAGAATCACAAAGTACTGTACCAAATAAAAGCAATAGCATCACTTGAGGATTATCAACAGCGACAATTATAATGGATAGTACAAGTAACTCGGAAAGAAAATAATAGCATAATCAAAATTCTACACTAATTCAAATAAAAGGTCAAGAAAGAAACCCCCATCAATACTGGTTTAGTGTTTTGGCTACTTCAAATTAAATGTGTAAGGTTTCTTACGAGAATATTTTACAATATATGAAATAATGGTGGTAAAAAAGTTACATGCACAAAATAAATTGATTCACAATTCAAAATAACATTAAACAAAATCAACAAAATGAAAGTTTAAAACGAGTCTCTTTTCCTAGAAGCATGCACAACGAAATGGTAATGAATATATTTGAGCGTGACTTACTGTGTTGGTGTGTTTTAGTGTGAAGCGTTCACAGCCCTTTTAGCTTCACCGTGAAAAATTCATGTCACATAGCTCGAGAGAAGAAACAACCGGAAAAGAGAGCTACTTAAGGCTTTGCTTGTTTTTATGATACAGGGTTTATTAAGGGTTGCTACTGCTACTAAGTATATTAAGACATTACACTGGAAAGATTTATAACAGTTACTGGACTTAGGAAACATATTTTCCTGAAAATTTCTTTTAATAGAAGGATTTTGTAAATTTCTGCCGAAAGTTGCAATGGCTGCTCAGTCAATGAATGCTGAATATTTCTTTTTAAGGAAAGGGTTAATATTAATATTATTATTAATAGTACCATTACGATTGGATAACATTTTATTTAGCGTTTGGTTCTTATTATTTGTATCATTTGATTTTTCACAGAGGCAATTCAAAGTGTGAGTTCAGGGAATCCAATTTCAAACTTGACATTTGTAAACATTTGTAAATAACGGGTAAGGAACTTAGCTTAAATCCAACAGCTCTATAAAAGCCAGGGATCGATTTGACACTATCGATATTATAAACAGTACCTCTTTCTAAATAATGGCCTGCGGCCATATCACGTTGAAACACCGGTTCCCGTACAACGTCGAGTCTAGTCAGTATGGGTGACCGCTTGGGAATACCAGGTGTTGTAAGCTTGGATGTGCGAGTGTTGATTGGGAATTGTTAATCGAAGATTCGAATTCCCCTAAGATCACTGAAGTTAAGCAACGTTGAGCGTGGTCAGTACCTAGATAGGTGACCGCCTGGGAATACCAGGCACTGTAAGCTTGGATTTGTGATGGTGTAATGTATAATAGCTCGGAATTGTTAATCGGAGAGCCGAGTTCCAAAACATTTTGATCTTCTATGTGCCATGTCTCTTCAGAATGCTGGTGATCATAGCTCTCCACAATTTCCTGCCTTTTGTAGAGCTTAACAAATTTTGTCTCTTTGTTATCTCTTCTAAACCCTGTTGTGTCATCCATTTATTCGAACTCGCTAGATAAATTATGGTATTGTTTTCCACTGTCCCCCTTGCCTTCAATCTGTTCTGTAAGTATCATATTTTCCAAGCCCTCTTTCCTCATCATGCACCCAAGAAATTTCAACCATCTCTTTCTGATGTTAAGTAAAAGTGTCCTGTTTCCATTTTCTCTAAAACTTCATCGTTGCTCACATGTTCGGGCCATGATATTCTCAGCATCCTTCTACAGGACCATATTTATGTTGCTTCAAGTGTGTTCTTTACCTTTGAGGAGATTGTCCAGCAATTCAATCCCATATAGGAGGACTGATATTGCGTAACAGTTCAGTACTCTTTTCTTTGTTTCTAACAAAATTTTTCTATTTTATTAATCTTTTTCTTAGCTTTTGGAAGGCATCTTTGCTATCCCAATGCGCCTTCAGATTTCAGTGTCGCACTTTCCGTCATTTGTTAAAACATTTCCCAAATATTTAAATTGCTGTACTTGTTTGATTTTGGTTTCTCCAATTTGTAATTTGCATGTTGGGATGTTCCTTTTGCTAAAAAGCATTTTCGTAAATGCCTGTTTGTCTACATGTTTTTGTTAGTTTGTCGATCCATAAAAGTCTAATGTCGCTATTTACCGTTTATACATATAACTTTTTTTTTCTCATTCATTCTTGGTATTGTTGGAAACTAAAAAAAAAAAGTCCTAAATTCTGTTAATGGGCAGAATATTTGTTGTGACCTTAAATATTATTCCTGGGTCTCCGACAGCATGACGAGTGATGTTCTCTCATGCAAAACTGAATGAACACTGGTCATAGTGATTTGTATTACGTTGTCACACATGAAATGACGCACTTTATAGGAAATGAATAAAACATTTCTGAAATGTTAAATAACTAATTTATTTAGTTGAAATAGGCACCATGTTGATGAATGACTGTTCTCCAACGTATATCTAAATTATTGATCCCATTTTGAAAAAAATCTCATCCTTTGATGTGATGAACAGTTCAAATTCTTCGATTACCTTTTCCTTATTGGAGAATGTTTTATTGCGTATGAAAAGCACAATACGATTAAATAAGCCATAATCAGTAGGAGAGATATTAGGTGAATATGGAGGATAAGATAAAATTTCGTAATTCAGGCTATACAGCTTTTGGTTCAATATAGTGAAAGAAAAATTATCTGGAAAGAAAAAGAGTCAGGAATAAGTCAAGATTTTTTATATACTATGGAGGTTACTTCGTTAGACGACCGGATCAACAACCAACCAAAAAATGTGTCATTTTATGTATGACAACCTAATATATATGTGCGCGAGCACGCACGCACGCACACACACACACACAAGAAAAACAACCTAGCACCAATAAATAGCCCATAAATTAGTTTCTAACTGGATATAAAAATAACGAAAATGAGAAAATTGAGAGTCTATTACTGAAACCTCCTGATGAGTGGACCGAAAGATTACAAAAAAGTTCGTTTATGCATCTCTGGTGTCGAGGTGCGCAGCTACACGTCGCTCGGAAGCATCCGCCAATGCTACTGATATATATATATATATATATATATATATATATATATATATATATATATATATATATATAGTTTATGAAAAACTAGGTGTAATCCTTATGGGTAGACCCAAGGAGGATAAAATCCAGAGCTCAATGTAAATCCAGAGCATGAATATTTTTCTAATCGACTATTTCATAGAAAATCCCCAAAATTTTTATAAAAAAAAACAAAAAAAATTAAATCACTAACAAACATCAAATTAAATTCTTTGTAGGCAGTTTAGACATCCAAATTTATATCAAACATTATAATCTTTATGAACACGCAAAATAACACTTTCAAAGTAAAACAAAATGACAGTGTCTTTTTCGAGCTCTTTTTTTTTCCAAAGAAAATTAGTGACACCTTCTCTCATGACTTCCTTCTCTCTTTTTCTTTTTATGTGTTCTTTCTCTTCTACTCCTTCTATATCAATATATAACTTCCGTTAAGTTAATCGTTTAAATATGTCAATGTCTGGACCTCCTCAAGTAATTTCAAGTATGAAAGAATAGAAATATTAAATTACATATAACTCACTCATATTTTCTCTCTCCCCCCTCACTTCGTTAATTTACTTATGCTTAATACGGCCCGTCAAAAATGTGTAAATTTCTTTTCATTTTTTGTTTCAACCTTTGGAAGTAAAGTCTGATGATCCGCAGTCCTTTAAAAGGGCTGTGGTGAAATAATTTATTACATGGAACCTTAAAGTGGTCTGTTTTTATTTAATATATACATATATATATATACATATATATATATATATATATATATTTTAAATTCATTTTTTCACCCTTAACTGTCTTTGCGACAAATCTAATTTTTAATATTCGTAGGAGAAAAAGCGTGTTTTGTTCTTCTCATTAAATACAGTTCTCTGGCTCCTTTCACACAACCAGAACACCTTCTTACCACATTATGATTGATCTTCATGACCTCAACCTTAAGAAAAAGGGTTTGTTCCTTGTTTTCGTTTTTGTCAAAGAAAATATAATTCTCATCTGCTTCACTTTCCGGTAATAGTATGTGTTTTCCTAATTTCTCCAGAAAGAGATAAACTTCATGTTTTTTTTTTAATCATTTCACCCGAAGCAAGGTGGGAATGCCACTAGTACGTAGGGGGGTACAGGGAGTGAAAGTGAGAGAAAAGACTGGGTATTAATGTTTAACCACCTCATCACTTCAGTGTCACACTACGAGATCTGCTTAAAAGCAGGTCTCTGATAACAACCAGAGGCAGTTGAAGGCCGGGAAGCCACTGGGTGACACGCGGCGGACTGTTGCCGCTGCTTCCGCCACCTCTCAACATGACTGCTCCTCTCAGCGACTGTTACCACTCCTGGGATTGATAAATCCTCCGACTCTCCACACACGGAATCCAGAACAGCATCTCAACGTCGACACCAACCAACTACAAGCCTTCATTGTTTCCGACGCTCTCACCTCGGCAAACCCGATTCACTACATCGGTCGACTCTCCAGCCTCGACACCACCCTTCCTCATCGCCAATGCCGTCACCTCAGCAAACCCGGCTCACTAAAGCGGCCTACTATCCAGCTTCGAAACCACATCGACAGCCCACAGCCGTCACCTCGACATACACGACTCGCTACGGGCATCCTTTGCAGTCGTCACCACAGCCCCGTTCCATACAACAAACCTATAAACCACGCCAATCGACACACCACCGTGACCTCGACCGACCAACACGTGCTCCAACCATATCCTGTGACTTCGGTCAAGCAAGAAATTGGTCAACTCCCGGCGCTACTCTTACATCTGATCGCCATCTTGACGATAAGACACAGAAATTGACGTTCCACTGATTTTCGACATCTCTGTAAGACACCCCATATATTAAATAAATACATATTGTTAAAAAATCTAATCCTCGTTATTCCTTTCCTCTCGCAACCAAACACTTATTATAACACATGTATATTTGCATGGTTGACATTCACGTCACAAGGGAGCGAAAAATTCACTGTGTGTTAGGCAAAACAAACGAATACACTCACCAAAATAAACATGCACATATTAAAAGGTAATTATTATTAGTTCGCCATATGTTTTATTTTGCTTCTTAAGTGCTTTTTCAACATGAACATTCCTTGCAGCCCATTGCGTTAACCGCACCTTTTCATCATTGAATTTCACAGTCTCTAGGAAAGGGTTTGACAAAGAACACAGTAAGCACTTAATTTGAAGAAATAACCCTAACAAGTAAACAAGCGTCTCCCTTGAATTTGAACTCAATGCAGGAGTGACTCAATAATGAGCTATGGTGGATGTTTGCATTTTTAAAAAGTCATTCGGGCGGGCTGTTTTTATAAATTTACTATTCATTCATTCTTTCTTTCTTTCTTTCTTTCTTTCTTTCTTTCTTTCTTTCTCTTGTTTTCTGTCGTTCTTTCTTTCTTTCTTTCTTTCTTTCTTTCTTTTTCTTGTTTTCTGTCGTTCTTTCTTTTCTTATTTTCTTTCTTGTTTTTTCGTTTCTTTTCTTTCTTAATTTCTTTTTCTTGTTTTCTTTATTTTCTCGTTTCCATTCTTTCCTTTTCTTTTTCTTTTCTTTCTTTCTGTCTTGCTGTCATTTTTCTTTCTTTTCTCATCCTTTTTCTTTTATTCTTTCGTGTTTCTTTTTCTTTTCTTTCTGTCGTTTTCTTTTCATTCTTTCGTGTTTTCTTTCTTTTCTCGTTTCCATTCTTTTGCTTCTTGTTTTCTTTCTTTTATATGTTCTATTTCTTTTCTTTCTTTCTGTCTTGCTGTCATTTTTCTTTCTTTTTTCTTTCGTATTTTCTTTTCTTTCGAAGTGCAACGCTCGAATTATTTCCTTCGTCATAGTATCTTCGTTAAAAAAAAAATCTTACTAAAGGTCTTACTTCTGTAGTTCTCTGTGATACCATATCTTTAAGAGAACCAAATCAAACGAGAAGTGAAGTATTGCTGCCATATTTGAACTAGTACTAGTTGCTCAGTCCGCACTTGCCTGTGTTGATAGAGTTCAAAAGTATCTAAGCGGTCTTATGAATTATTTTCTACCTTACGACCTCTTTCTCCAAGACAAAACATCGCAAGCATCTTGTTATTTTATCGCTATTTTTATAGAAAGTGTTCTGACGAGATACATACAATCCTAAGTCCTGTCACCTCTGACTTTTGCAGCTGGGGCCCATCATGCCACGTACACAAGTATAGATTCTCCCGACTCCTTTCATATTCTTTTAGTAAAAATGCAAGTTCCCCTCGGACAGCTTCTTTCCAAGAGCTGCAGCTTTGAGGACCAAACTCTCAGCAGGATGTTTTCCTAATTATTACAAGCTTGATCTCTTCAAGTGTAGGTTTAACCGTTATCTTTTTTGTATAATCCCAGGAAATTTACTTCATGCCTTTTCTTACGCCTATACAACACACGCAAGCCGCTAGTGGCCCGCTGGTAACGTCAGTGGTCCTTTGGTGGCAGCCACAGGTGGGCCTCTAGCGGTCCGTCACGAAAACGCCGACGACCCGACAGCGGGCCACCAATGGTAAAAGCTACCTTATACGCAACAATTTTGTTCCTACACGCAAGCCACGAATCTGCCACTGGGTGGCATGCCACTCGCGTTTACCGCTGGTGGCCCGCTGACAGACCGCCGGCGTGTTCATCTCGGCAATGTTACCACTGGCGGACCGCTAGAGGCCTAACAGTGGCTGCCACCAGAGAACCGCTGGCGTTGTCATCAGCGGGTCACTAGTGACCTGCGTATAGGATAGTGGTATGCCACCCAGTGGCAGATTCGTGGCTTGCGTGTAGGAACAAAATAACCGTCTACTTTGAGTGTCTCTTTGGCCTTGTATTGTGTGAACTATTAAAACGGTAAAACTATAGAAAGAGGCTTAAAGACAAGAGTGTCTCTTCTTTCCGGATTTATTCATTTTACACAGACACGGTGGTGTAATGGATAGCGGTTCGAAATGAGGAATCAAAGAGGTGAGTTCGTTACATTCACACACGTGCAAATAACTTTGGGAAATGTATGAATTCGTCTTTTCTCACCACCCAGCTTTTTTTTCATAATTATTTTTTTAATCATAAGCAAGGTGATAATGCCACTAAGACGCAGGGAGTTTCTGAGGGTGAAAGAAAATGGGAAGACTTTAGAATAAACCGGAAACCCAATCCTTAAAAGGAAACAAAAATTAAACAACTATTCCTGTTCAAAAGACGCGGAAGAAGCTATGCCACTGACTGAGAGGAGTGGTAAGTGGATAAACTACACAGAACAAGGAGCTCTACAGAGACACTATCGTCCACGTCCTGAAGGGACATGGCGCATAAAGGAAGAAGAAAATTATTTACTAAGCTTAGGTTTGTTTTAGCACAGGGTCACAATGATAAGACCTAATAAGGATCATATTTATTACTCAGTCGTAATGGACAATGGGACTAGCTCACGAGTCACTAGTCCATATCAAGGTATTCAAAGTTTAACGTCCGCTTCCCGTCATTTGAAATCGTTTATTTTTAAATTATACGCTGAGCATTGTTAGATAGAATGCAAAAGGTAAACAAAACAACTTCGTCCAAAGTCTAATTTCAGTGAGGACGAAACTGATAAGGTCGAAGTCGAAAGTGGGCGAACTGCATGCCAACCATAGAATTGGGCCACTGCCGTTGTGTAGCGAGACTTTAAAATGGTGGTGGGCATACTATGGTCAGCGAAAGCATAATAAAAATTTTTTTCGTACGTTATTCCATTTATTACTTTCATTGGATCTTTATGAAAAAATACTCTTACTAACCCCTTGTATCTTAGTGGCTTTATTGCCTTGTTTGGAGTGAAATGATTAAAAAAAATAACTTTTACACCCTCCAGTGACAAACTATGTGTAAACTATGTGGCAAAGATGCAAATAAAGATTAAAAGAATCCATGGTTCAAGAAACCGTGATATGATGGATGATTACATTGCAAAGTTTATGTGGAATAAATGATACAAAGACTCACAATTTTATCATTTTTGGCATCACATTGGCACGGAGTTATATTGTTTAATATTATTGGTTCTTGAATTTGTATTGTTATAAAGGTGTATACAACAAATTAGAGAACAAACGAAACAATTACCACCGATGAGGCAAAAACAAAGACAAGAATTGCCAAGATAAAATTCTTTGTATGGCTGATTTAGCGGATCAGGGTGGAAAATCTCTTTGTGGGCTAGGAAGCGTCCTGGAGAATGAAGAGAGTCCGTAGGGTCTCGAGTTGATACATATGTTGGGTCGATAAGTTATAAGATATATTAATAAGTTAGTCTCAAATACGCTCCTCGTAATTTGTAGAGAAACCATATCATTAGTTCAGACCTAGTAGTACAAACGCCGCAGTTTGCCATGAATCAAAATGTACCATAAATATTTTGAAATTTAAAAGTCAAGTAAGAGCACCTCAAAGCGTCTGCTTTTCTCTGAAAGCTTGATGTGTGCTCATGTAACTTAAATTTATTATACTACTCCTTTCAGTATCGTAAGCAGCGCCCGCACCCCCCTCAAAAAACGGTATGTCAAAAGTACGGTAATTCCCTTGACACCGCTATTACAGTATACACTTTTGACTCCTTCGATAATGTTTATTGTTTTAAAAAGCGACTAGAGTTTTAATAAAACCAAAACACATGAAAGTGTATTTTTACCTCTTTTATTCTTGAGAATTAACAAAAAAGATATATTAAACACTATTTATTTATTAGATTTCTTATTTACAAGAATTTTATATTTACAAGATTATGAAAATATGTAATCCAACTGTAAAGTTGGGAGTGTTCTATTATCGTGCTAATTATAAGTGAAGCACTGATAACTTAATGAGCCTTTATTAACAATAAAGTATATTTATTAAAGACATTTTTATGTTTAACGTTGTTATTTTTATAGATACAAGTATTTAAGCAAATGCTCTGTTTAAGATAAACAGTATTAAATAACATTTACCGGCCTGAATACTGTTTATCTTAAACAGAGCATTTGCTTAAATACTTGTATCTATAAAAATAACAACGTTAAACATAAAAATGTCTTTAATAAATAAATTGTCGGACCTTGTCCATTTCTTAATAAATAAAGTATATACAATAACAAGACAGTAAATTTACGTGTTAGGCCCAATGCTGTTGAGCATGTAGTCCGAATGTTTTTATAGTATCCCTACGCCATGATGTTACACTGGTTATGCGTAGGGAAATAGTTCTGTGATACTGCTACACCAACTATAATGAAATATTTATTATTTACCATTTTATAATAAAATTAATTTGAAAAGAATTTTTTTTTATTCGTAAACAAGAAAATTTAAATAAACACATAATGGCGAGTAATTGTAATTATAAATTTTGAAAAAAAAAAAGATTTTCCGAACATTTCTTTCATCACATGAATTCACTAAAATGGTTTAAGTTGAGAGCATCTCTTCCTCTGACACATTTTCTATTTTTTTTAACTAAGTTTTTGAATAAAAAGATTTTTTC